GAGCCAATGTATCTCATTTTCTGTGAACGTCATCAAAAAGTGGCTAACTAATCACATGTTGCTCATATCGTGATACATATTTTATCAGGTGACAACTTTTTGATATCTTTCAAAAGAAGTGAGATATACATATAGGGTCCAAGTGGACGGTCCGCGTGTTAGATTGTTTACGGTACTTTAAAATGTTCGGTTTNTGGTCATTTTCGTTCTATTAGAGGTTTTACAGTATGTATACACTGTCCAATTTCCGGTTTTTTAGTGGACTTAAGCAGAAAAATAATATCAATGAATGATCAAGCACAAAGAATAAGCAAAAAACCCAAAGCAGATCTATCAAGAATTATCGAAAATATATAAACCTTTCAGGAACAGTTCACACAATTCCTTCGAATCTATCAAGCATGTTACGCCTATTGCGTGGGCTCGATGTATGGTGTTGAGACTCAGACTAACAACTACCACGTCGCCATGAGCGGAAAGATTGTATCTAGTAAGTGGGATGCTCTAGATATTACTTCCAAGCCTTCACATTCATTGAAATGTTTCGAAAAAATTATTGAACTAATACCATTGGCGATTTTTCTAGCTAAATACGGAGCATTTACATTTGACAAAAGTGGCTCTGTACTAACCGACTATGTGGTCTATACAGTCAACCCAGCTGAAATGACCTTCGATGCCGTTCTGACGCTGAAGTCAACACCGAAGGACTGCGATACATACAACTGCTTTAGCTTGGTGAGTCTGTCCACCTAACAAAATTTTTCGAAAGTTTGGCTACATGCTCATTATCTCTAATGACAGGCAGAAACGAAAACGCCTGACTTGCTTTGGAGTCTAAGAGATATGGATCCGCCTGACGAATGTGTAGCGCGAAATGCATGCTCGAATTACATTCGTGAGTTTCATTAAATTTTTTTTTTCATTTTTCAAAAAATATGGATTCGGAATTATCTGCAGCTCATATAATATTCGCCTCATCGTTTGTGGCATCGCCATCACAATTGGTGTCATAGTGCTCAAAAAACGACAGTAAGTGATAAATAGGGAGGGGGGGGGGGGTTATGAATGGTCCCTAAGTTTGGACAAGGAACAAAAGGTTCAGAAATTTTTTTTTTTAAATCCCGAAAATTCCAAATTAACTTGAAAGTTTGATAGTGGTTTTTACCGTTATAATGACTTTTTAAAAATTTTTTTTGAGTGGAGAAAATATATCCAAGAGTGTTCAGAAGTGTTTGAACACCTAATAATCCGCTTAATTTTGAAAGTTCACATATAAATTTAAATTGAGTTCTCAAATGACAGGCAACCTATAACCTTGATCCGGTCCGTTCCGGCACGGGTGTCTAATAATTATTATTTCTGTCAGTTTAAGATATTCGAAAGTTTTAAAGAACGTAGTGCCGTTGAAAAAATTATTCAAAAATGTATTAAATGAAAATTTATGATATTTCTATTGGGATGACCTCGGGCCCACTGGATCGGACCGTAGTTTTTTTGTTTTTGCTTTTTGACAGCATTTGAGAGTTCTCTCAATTATTCAATATTGTCTTTTTCTTCCAAAAAACTTATTGTCCTTGAGAAGGAAATTAAATCTGAAAATACTTTTTTCGCTCACAACAAAAAAATCTCATTTGCAAGTCTTTTGGCTAAATTAAAATGTCCTTTTTTGAGCGTCCTGTTGTAAAGTGTATTTTTTGTTGCTCTTATCTATCATTTTCTCGAGAATAATTCATTTCACAACAAAATACTGTCTTCTTCTCGCTCCAAATTCCACAAAATTCGAGCTCAATTCCAAGAAAACATTGAACTTCAAAGGTAGTCATTAAGCAACAATTATTTTCCTCTTTCACCCTCACGTTATATACTAGTTGCCATGGTTTACCAGATCCCTTGAGACTGCTAGGATTAACTTACTTCTTCAACTATCGCATTGTCCTCAAACTAACATTACTCGTCTAAAATGTTAGGACTGCGAGATATACTATACGAGGTGAAGCAATTTATAGTATATTACTTGCAATTCTCTTGGTTGACCATCCTATTTTTATTTGACAAAAAGCTACCAAGAGAGTGTCAGAAGGACTTCCTTGTTGATGATAAGCCACTCGATTGGTATTCGAGGTTGAAGCTATATGTGAGGTAGGAAATTCATTCAGATGTTTTTCGGTAGTTTTTCTATTCTTTGCTATAACAGGTAAGCTACTATACTTTGGAAAGGTCTGCAAAATGAATATGATCATTTAGACTTTTGAAAATCATTTTTTGTAACAGTGAAGTTTAGTAAAGCTTCGAAAAGTTTGGATTTTTTTTTGTGAATTTTCAGAGAATATCTTATTATAAAGAAGGTTTTTTTCTCTTTTTTGTATTCAAAAATTCAACATAACTTCTAAAAACACTTTTTTCTGTTCCATTTTCCAAAAGTTTTTTTGAAATGCTTTAAAGATTTTTCTGCCAATCCCGTCTCAACTAATCAATAATTCTGAAAAGATATTTTTTCCTATATCACAGCTTTTGAATTCGTATAGATACTCATTTTTCAACTGAGCTCTAACACCCTTATTACTCACACACAGGGAATCATACTCCGCTTGTTTTGGAATAACAACTTTGTTTTTCAGTTTTGTGAAAATAATTATGAAAACATGATAAAAAAATGAAATTATGAGAGGTTCCATTCCAATTTCAGACACAAAATGAACGTCTACAAGCTGACGTGGAAAGTGTCAAAGGACACTTTGAAAATTATTGTGAACAAAAATGCGGATGCGGTAATTCATCAAATTTGATATAAAGCAATACGTATAATTTTCCAGAAAATGCAACGAGAACTGGAAAACAGGACTAACAAAGACGAGAATACCTTGATTTCTCGTAGACGAGTGTTTGGGTCTTACGCATTGGTTGGAACTCAACGAGCCGAGTATCTTCAGTTCAAACAGGACAAAAAGCTCAGTTTATCGGAAGCCACGCTGGATTATTTGTATAGTCTCAAACAACTGCAGAACGACAATTTGGCCAAGTTTTTTGGAATACAGTGTAATGATGATAATATGCCGACATTGACAGTTTTGCACACTCTTGTTGAGAGAGGAACGCTAGAGGTATAAAGTTAGAGTTTGTAAATTTTTTTCCGGAAATTCTGTTCCTGAAATTTTCTCCGAAGCGTTTTTCGGATCCTCTGGGCAAAAACTTCCCATTTGAAATAATATTAAGTGAAAATAAGGATATCGAGGTAACATAATTTATCATATAGATCTCCAAGCTATATGTACTCGAACTTTGAGCTCAATTGTCTTGGTTCCTTTGACAGTTATCAAAAATTTGTCAATAGATAAAATAATTTCCATGTTATCATCAATTTTTTATCAGTTTACAAATTTTTGATAACTTCCACAGAAATCGAGATAATTTGCCTCAAATTTCAAATATGAAACTTTTGAACGACAAAAAAAAACATACTTTTCAGGAATTTTGCTTGGATCGAGACTTTGAAATGAACGAGACGTTCAAATCTGCATTCATGAGAGATATGTTAAAAGGCCTCAACTATCTTCATAAGGGTCCAATAGCACATCACGGATTTTTACAAGCCTCCACGTGTTTGATAGATATCAATTGGGTTTTGAAACTTACGTTGTATGGAGTATCCAATTTTATATGTGATGCGTTTGATTCGACCAACGTCAAACTACTCGACCACGCGGCGCCCATGAGTGAGTTTAACAAAAAAGGCTGATCGATATTAAAAATTTTAGTTTCTTATCCTCAATATGTGTGTTTCCCACCCGAACACATCAAAGAGTACGACCCGACTGGAAAATTGCCGCCACGTATTGTACGGGGTAGTCAAAAAGGCGATATGTACTGTGTAGGAATGATTTTATATATGATGATTGAGCGAGAAGATCCGTTTATGTTAATTCATTCTCTGGAACGACCAAATCCAAGTGGGGTTTTTCATTTAGTTCGAATTCTAGCCACGAATATTTTTAGATCTTGTCAAGGATATAATCGACAATGGAAAGATGCCACGTGTTGCTGACGAACACAATCCAGAAGCAAAGCTCCTCCAAAAGTGTCAAGAGTGCTGGAACCGCAATCCCGAAGAACGACCGGATGTTAGGAAGATTCTGGAAACCATCGCAATTGTTTATCCTACTGCGTAAGACTTGGATCTGACTAGAGTACTCTGAATAGAATCCTAATAACTTGTTCTTTTAGAAAAGGCAACTTGGTGGACCAAATGATGAAAATGAATGAAAAATATGCCGCGGAATTAGAAGAAATGGTATCAATTCGGACACAAGATTTGGCTCTGGCACAAGTGGCAACTATGAAACTTCTAAACGAAATGTTGCCAGCGTAAGTGATGAATTCCATAGAGCTCGAGGTGATATCTGGTGATTTCCAGAGCCGTGGCGGAAGATCTAAAAAACGGAATTGTCAGAGAACCAAGAAGTTATGAGTCTGCAACAGTGATGTTTGTTCAAATATGTGAATTCAATGCATTAATGAAGAAGAGCACTCCAAATCAGGTTTTTAGAAGGACATACATGAATCTAACAGAACCTTTTCAGACCATAATGTTCTTGAATGACGTGTTTGATCAATTCGACAACGTTATCAAAAATCATGATGCTTACAAAGTGGAGACCACAGGAGAAACCTATATGGTAGCATCCGGCGTGCCTGAAGAGAATGAAGGACGGCATGTGTATGAGATTGCGGAGATGAGTCTGGAGATTCGTGAAGTTTCTTATCGCTATAAATTGTCTTATAATCCGTCTTACGTGGTAAGTTTTCACCTGAATTTTCGAATTTCGCAAATTCGGAAAATTTCGTTCTGAATATTTTTGAAGCATTTTTTTCGAAATTACAGGAATATTTTCGATTTTTCGAAATATGACCTTTGTGGACTACCGTAGGTCTGAAGTGCGCGAGAAAACTTTTCATGAGCAGAATTTATTTTCAAAATTAAAATATTTTGCATTTTCAAATTCTTTTTGTCAATTTGTTCTTCGATCTTTGCGTTTTTGTGATAAGAAACTAAGAAGAAATTCAAAAATTCTGAAATTCGGCAATTTTGAAACTTGAAATTTTCGACATTTCTGGAAATTTTGAAAAAGCCATTGGGAACATCCTTGACGTAATCTACAAGAAAACATAACCGAATCAATTATTATCCCAAAAATGTGTTTATTTTCAGCTCCGCGTCCGCATTGGTTTCCATATGGGACCTATCGCTGCTGGTGTCATTGGCATCCGTTCTCCACGTTACTGCCTTTTTGGAGACACTGTCAATTTTGCCTCCAGAATGCAATCAAACAGTGCCCCGAATCAAATTCAAACTAGCGAGATTACGGCTAACTTGTTGATGGCGTCGAAAATGTACACTTTCAAGAAAAGAGGCTATGTTCATGTCAAGGGAAAAGGTGAGATATCAAAAATTAAATTTATTAAACTCTAATAATATTTAGGTGATGTCAAATGCTTCTGGCTCAACCAGCATGTTCATGAGGGAGAGAATGGGGAACCGCCGCTGACCCACTCTGTCCAAATGCCAAGTACATCATCAGAAATCAAAGGAGTGGACGAGACAGCTATAATGCATCCGCTTCGCAAAGTTTGATTTCCCGAGAAAATGTTTTCGGTCTCCTGAATTGCATAATTATTTTGAAGCACATGAAACATGAATCTGTATATTTCCGTTCTAATATATTTCGAAATACAAAAAATATTTCTTTGAAAGCAATCATCAGGCTCTTCTCATAATTAAGTTTTTGTTTTTCGTTATTTCTTCTGTTTTTCAAGAATATACTCATCATAGCGACGCCCCACGAAAAAGAAGAAAAATTTCAATATCCATCAGAACTCTGAATTATTTATTATGTATAAGAGAAGTGAGATGAGAACTAAGCTCTTCAGGCATCATACATGTATGTGGGTGTGTGTAACTTTACATTCGGCACGGGTGTGTTTGGGGGGAGAAGAAGATTTTTACATGACGAAGCGCTAGCAGGAAGTAGCAAAAAAGCAGAACATATTAAAGGAAGTTTCAAAAAATTAGAGAAGATGAAGGGTGACAGAATTTAAAGATTGTAAGACGATCGGATTTCACGTCCACATCTGTCTTGGCATTCACGATGATTGGCAGGGATGATGTTACGGAGTACATTGAGCTGAAAAAAATCCCCAGTTTTTCTTAGAGATCTTTGAAATAGTCTACCTGTCCATAGGATACTTCAACTGGCTCTGTGAAGAGTGTCCAGATGACGCACTCGTTGAATGGTGGGGTAGTCAGAGAACCGAGGTATGTGACGAATTCTCTCTTGTCTGGAGTTGGGAGAAGGTGTTCAAGATGGAAGTCTTTTGGCATGGCAATTGGGGTGACGTTTCCAGTGGCTTTGCGGACACTGTCAATGAGTCCGTGGTAGTTGTCGTTGTACTTTCCTTCCTGAAAAATCCACGTTTTATTTTACTGGAAATCGGTCGGATTGAGCTTTTCCATAATTTTCAAGGTTCGGGTTTTTAGTAATTTGTTTTCCTTTCTTTTCAAGAATAATTTCGGGGTTAAGATAAAAATATAAACGCATTTTCGGTAGAACAATACGCTTGCCCAGAACGGGGTGACATTAAAAAAATCTTTTTTAAAAATAAGTTTGTAAAATTCCTGTAATTTCAAGTGTATTTCTGAAATGTGGGAAAGCTGCCCCTGATTTATCAATGATTTATCTTTTTGACCCATTTTCTACGAAAAACGGGAACAAACCAGGTACCTTGCCGAAATTGGCAAATATTAAAAAAACTAGGAATTTTCAAAAATTCAAAGAATGCAAAACTCTCAATCTCGGTCCGTTCTACAACATCCAAAATTATCAAAAGGTGCCAGACTTCTAACAATGGCCAAAATGACATAAAACCAACTGAAAAATACGTTTCTGTCTATATTATTGGCCGATACTTCAAATTTAGAAAATCTATAGGTTTCATTTGCCGATATTGTATTACCAACCTTCAAGAAAACTCCAACTACAGCTAATCCATCCGGCTTCTCAATAGCCTCATTGAATGACGCATAAGTGGTGTTCCAGAACACAAAATGAACCTCTCCGCTCAACTTCTTTCCGTCCAAAAGGTGCTCGGATCCTTCCTTCGAGTTGCATCCCCAGTGAGCATGAAATTGAGCCAACTCGAATTTCGAGGATGGCAGATGGTTAGCAGTGAGGACTGAAAAAACGAGAAGGGTGATGAGCCATGAACCTGAGAGCCACTCACATGTTCCGCAGTTTCGTTTCACATTCACACGGAATCCTCCCTCGTTTACAATGACGTCACAGCAATCTCCTGGCTTGTAATCAATGTTCAAAGCATCAGCCTGGAAAAATGAATGTTTGATTTTCAAAACTTTGCTTGTACTTGATCCTAATGTCTACAAAAATGACAGTACCTTGCAAACATCAGTGTCACAGCAGACGTGTTGTGGGATGATATCAATTGGGCTTTGTCTGGTAGCTGCTGAAAACCAAAAATTATAAATTTAATACAATAATCTTATTAATAATACCTTTCTGAACTACTTTAACATTTTTCTTGGCCTTTTTCGACTGTTTCTTTGGCTTAAACCCCACTTTCTTTTTCAGGGTCTTAGTGGGCTTTTCATGGCCTTCCAATCTTACGGACCTTCTAACTTGTGGAGGTGCCATGTCACAAAAAAAAGAGTAAAAATGAGTCAAGTTCACATGCGAGCAACGAGGAGGTGAGGGAGAAGAAGAGACGGCGAAAAAAAGAGGGAAAAAAGAGGGAAAAGTTGTTTTGCTACCCAAAAAATTCTATCTCTTTTATTTTGCCTCCTCGCTTTTTTTCTTTCTTCGATTCTGTTTTCTTTTTTTTTCTTTTTTTTTCCTAGACGGAACCAAGAAAAACAGAGAATAGGAAAGACAAAAGTGCATGTATAGTGGGGGAGAAAGAGAAAAAGCTCGAATATCCTATGCTCAAATAGTATAATAGCTTTCTAATAGCCGGAAAGACGTCTGGGAAACGTCTTAAAAAACAGCAAAACGGAACTAGGGAATCAAAATTCTTAGAAGTGACAAAAATGGCGACGCATTCTAAATGCGAAAGAGATAGAAGGATCATCATCTCAAAAATATTAGATGAATGATAAGAAATCATTTTTCTCATTTTTCTTTTCAACTTACACATTATGTCTCTTCGTGGCTGTCTTTAAGACGCGCTTTGTATGATAGTGTGTGTTCGGGTTTGAAGACGTCGGGGTCTCTGAAAAATGGATGCATTTAGAAGTGGAGCAAAACGCAAGAATAGGAAATCAAAAAAGAAAAAAGGAAAAAAAAACGACTGGCAGTATTCTGAAGTTTTAAAATATTTTAGTAGTTTTTTTTTTTGCAATAGTTTCAAGGAATGATATCTCGAATTTTGATAAGGATATCAGAAAACGTGATATCACTTTGAATCATTTCTTGAAAAACTAGTTATCGATAATTAATACCTGCTGATATAAATTTAAACTTCAGAAGGTGCTAATTTCAGATTTCAGACAAGGAAGTGGCACTGCCTGATTCAGAAGTTCAGTGACAGATGTTTTAGAATATTGAGTTAACAATTCTGAGCTCAGATCTAGCAAAGTTTTCGAAAACTGACTATTTTTGAAATATGTTCTGCCCTACCAAAACTTTAATGTCGAATTCGTTAGTTTTGGCAAAAAGCGGGCAAAATTTGGGGTCAGAAACAAAATGGCAGATGTTTGTGGTGCCAGGGGGGCTTTGGAATACAAATGTGGGTCTCAGGACTTTGTTCCTTTTTTTTTGGAATTTTTGTATAAACATTGGAATACATTCCATGTTAAAGTTCAAGGAAATAGAACTCATGAAAATAAACATTTTCGAATCCAAAATAAAAAAAAATTGGATTTACAAATCTATGGCAAAGAACTAGGGTCATGAGGGCAATGGCAGATGTTCGTTACTAGCATGAATATCGCTGCGAGGCTCAAAAATAGTTTATGTGAAGTCAGATTGAACTTTCAAGGGTTGACCGGAAACGAAACAAAGTTTCTTGCAGAAGAACAAAATTCCTGCGTCACTTTTTATAACAAATGTCTTGCTAAAAAATTAGTGGTCCGTTCTATGATCACTGTCTTAATAATACAAACAACAGAAATGCACAAAGAGAGCAAACCAAAACAACTGTACGGAATATTGTGATCTTTGCAATTCCTTATCAAAGCCGCACATCAAAGAAGACGAAGACAATACGAATGACCATTAATAAATTAAGAGATGGTCTCGTCTCTAAACGTTGGAGAATCATCATCTCGTCGTAGAAAAGAGTGATGGTGTCAGTGAAATGAATGAAAACATATCGTCAAGATCATCGAATGTTTTCGTTCTTCTCACTTCTCCTGTTTGCTTCTCTCGTCGATCTTCAATATTTATACTGTACAGTGTTTAGAGGGGGGCGGAGTCGCATGCTTTCTGACAGAGATCATTGCTGGTACGTGCCTTCTGGTATTCAGAATTGTTTGAAAAGGAGGCGGTGACGGGTTGAGAAGTGACTATGGTGGAATTTGCATACATTAAACACTTATAACACCTAGTTTTGATTGGGTTTTTTCGTGGTTGGGGGGTTTATGGAATTTGAATTTTTCATGACGAAGATCATGAGGTAGTTGGGAAGTCGTTGGTATTCAAAACCAGTATTTGAAGAAGAGTGAAAATCAAAAGACTGATTGTTTGAATCATTTTAGATCTGAGCTCTCGAAAAAAAAAGAGAACGTATTTTGCAATTAATTTTCGGTCATTTTTACCATATTCAGGAGTCTGGGACTCGACAGTTAGGCTTTCAATCACTTTGAAAATTGTAGAGGATGTGATAAAAACTTGAATTTACAGAATTTTTAAAAAATTTCAAATTTTCATCTATTTGCGAGTTTCTGAAAGACACCACGTTTTCAGCACAAAAGTGGATCATATTTTGTGTCTTTTAGGTAGTGCCAAATAGCTGAAAAACTAGAAACTTTCAAAAAATTTTGTGAATGCGAAGATTTCAATCTAGATCTATTTCATACCCTCAAAGTTTTCAAAATCTTGACAGCCGAGATACAGTAATGCCAAAAACTTCAGGATCTTTTGAAAATGCTAAAAATCCACTAAAAATATGTTTTTGTATAACTTATTGACCGGTACTGTAGCCCGTAGAAAATCAAAAAACTGAAATTCCCAATTTTTCTAAAATCGGCATTTGTTCTGCAGCGTGTTTTCTAAAGCAGAAAAATTTCTATTCTGGTCCATTTTATTTATGAATGTTCTTTTTTCTTTTTCAACAAAACGTTAATTTTTTGTTTGAAAAATTGAAAAATCAAACTGTCCTTCCTTCATTTTGCTTTCACAAGAAAACGATTTCCAGTCAGGTCAAATAAAAAAAAGTACCTAATTTTTATCCTATCAGACTGTACAAATTGAAATCAGAAAATAGGATTAATTTAATAAAGTGTTCAATCAAAGAGGAACTTTTAATGGGGCGAAAAGTTGAAATTGATTGGATTTAAAGTTTGAAATTTTCGAAAAATTGAATAGAGAAAACAGAACGATTCTATGGAAAATTTGAATGGCACAGGATAAATATAAGTACCTTAGAAAACCGGAGAAACACTGCCTCGACCCAAATGACATCACGGTATGACGACTGTTCCCTGTTCTCCGATCATTTTTCATCAAACTTTTCCCCCAAATGTTTGCATTAAGACTTCTGATAACATTCGATTTATTCCTTTACTCCCCACACCTATACCGCGCGCTCAATATCATAGATCGTATCAAATTTTCGAAAATTTATCGTTGTTGCATTTCAAATACGATGACGACGACTTCAACGAGAATACAGTGAAATAGATACGACGAAATACTGTTTTTTCTTCTCAGTCATGAGTCACGTGCCCCTAAAAGAATGCGTGTCCAAGACAAGCAACAAAATAGGAAACTGGAGAAGAAAGCATAGAGAACAACCAATTAGATGATTGATCTTCGCGTTGATCCTATCTTTGAACCATTGATTTTTGAATTGAACTTGTTGATTTAAAGAAAAGAAAAGAGAATAGTATACATTTGAAAAAAAAAACGGTGTGAGAAGGTAAATATAGAAATGAGACTTTTCTTGATAACTTTGATTTGCAGGAAGTAAGAATGTGCGGCGCCTGTGTGCAAAAAGGGTTTAGGTCAGCAGGTATTTGTTTAACTAATGCTGTGAAATTTCTACAAATAAAAAATAAATAGGAAAAGTTCAACTTATTGATATAAAGTTTACCTGTGGAACAATGGGAAATGTGACAAATATGATTGAAAGGTTTATTAATAAATTGGAAATAAAAAATATCAGATGACTGGTAAAAATAGTGGAACTTAAAATTTGTCATAAATATTTTTTTGGAAACTTTCCGGAAGAAAAATATTTTTGAAAGTTTTCTGGAAGAAAATGTTTGTACTTTATTGAGAAGAGGGGTCGGCAACTAAACATGCAGTGAAATCTGTTATAGAAGGGCTCTCACATTTTCGAGCTAATTCATCTCCGTTCTCGTAAAAGATATCGAAAATGTGTCAACTGACAAATCACTTCTGATTTTATAATAAGCAAGTTATCAGTTGACATATTTTTTCATATCTTTCACGAGAACTGAGATAAATGGGGTCAAAGTACACGTAGAGAGTGGTTTTCGATTAGAGAAAATACGGCTTTTCAGATTGGAAATTCGAAAATCTGAATTAAAACTTGAGTTTCAAAACAATGTGGTTACATGGAACTCTTACTAAATATTGAAATCTTGATATAGAATTTCTCACATATCGTGTTCCCGCTAATAGAAGCCCACCCAACCCGTCAACTTTGAACTCGATTATCTCAATATTCGTGAATAATATCAAAAAGTTATAAACTGATAAAAATAATTGATCACATGATGAATAATATGCCAGTTGAAAAGTTTTTGGTATATCTTACAGGAATCGAGATAATTGAGCTCAAAGTTTACGGTTTGGGTGGGCTTCTATCTCAGAGTATACGGTCACACAGTTTTAAGCAGTTATAAACATACATAATGAATAACATTGTAATGGATACAGTTTTTTAAAACCGAATAAAAAGTATTTCATAAAATTATGGTAAACTGGAATCTTTGAAAATCTTAACTGTTAGGACTTTTCAATTATAGGTTACAGTGTCTCCTAAAATGTTAATTTGGTTAAAATACGTTGAAGTTCTTCTATTGAATTCAATTGTTTTCTACTTCTTTGAAAAAAATTGCGATTATTGATTCAAAAAATTAAAAAAACAAATCTTAATGAAGGTTTCTCTTGAGAGCTACAGAAAATTTAAGATAATTTTCTAGTTTGACCTTTTTTCAATTCCTTCTCCGAGACAATCTTTGAGTTCTTCAAAAAAGTTCAGGAACAATTTTTGATGTTTGTTCCAATGCTCCCTTTTGTTTTGTAAACAGTAACCCACACACAATTTTTTCCTCTACACATTTATTCCCGAAAAAAGTTGAAACGACAAGTAAAGAGTAATATAAGAATTAGAAACCGATAGAGCAAAAAAAGACAATGCAATCATATCAATTTCAGAAAGTGATTAAGAAGTGGAGCAAAAGTTAATACTAATTTTTTATCCTCTTAATAGTGTGGAGCCTCGTATCCATAGTATTGGTCACCGTGGTATGGGCTGGAGTGTCTGGCGGATGGTTGGTAGTGGGATTGGTGTCCTCCGTAGTACTTTGGCTTTGGTTGGTAGTAGGATGGTTGGTAGCTCTCGGAGTCGTGTCCGTGTCCGTAGTTGTCGTATCCCTTGTTGTAGTATCCGTTGGATTGGTCTCCGTACTTGCCCTCGTTGTCGTCGTACTTGGATTTGTGTCCGGCGTCCTCGTTTCCGTAGTCAGAGTGGGAAGCTCCGTGCTTCTCTTGAGCCTTGTCTGGAAACAAAGTAATTTTTAGAATGTTCTAAATTTTTAGAATACTCTAGAACCAATTGCTCTTACCGTATCCTTGGTGTCCATCGGCGTGGTAACCTCCGGCGTCCTTGTGTTGTTGTCCCGCGTTGTGCTCATCTCCAGCGTACTTGTTGGCGTGCTTCTCATCAGTGTGGTATTGCTCCATGTGGTATTGTGGCTGAACGTAACGGTAATCGAAGAATCCGAAAGTCTTGGTCTTCACATCCTTGTTGTAGTTGGAGGCATCATCCACATATTTGTTTCCGGAGCCCGACTGGTGAGCCTCCTTGTTTTGCTTATGCTCGGCGGCGTCCTTGTGAAGGGCATCGTGGTCAGAAGCCTTTCCATCTTGGGAATATCCCTTCTCCTTGGCCTCATATCCAGAATGTTCAGCCTTCTGGTGGAAGTTCTTGGCGTGTTGAGACTCGTCTCCATAGCCGTATTTGCCAGATGCGTTCTCATGGCTGCGATTTTTTAGAATTTTCAATTTATGAAAGTTCAAGAAAATTGTTACTCACCTCGAATGACTAATTGGGCTTGCCAAAATCGAGGCAATGAGAAGAGATGAGCAGATGAGTTGAGAAGTAGTGAACATTGTTGTTCTGGATGCCTTTGACGCCGCCACGCCGGCCTTTTATACTTGTCTCCGAGGTCGTATCTACTGCGATTTGTACTATTATTATTTAGTTTTTTCTCCGACCCATGTCCTTTGTTTTTTGCATTGTATTCTCCATGCAATCTGCTTGCGACGTCTTCAACACAGTCCGGTTTTCCTGTGGCATGTTAACTACGAACATCTATTCTCTTTTTTCCTTGCCCCATTCTTCCTTGACGCGCACCGTTTTTTTCATACTATTTTCTGGCTTCTAGATGCATTGTATGTATTGCCGAACGGCACTTTTTTCGGTTTGAGACATATCTAATATTGCCGTTTTTTCTCGATTTGATGAGGATGTAGTAAATGAGAAGAGAAGAGATGAGAATGTGAATTAAAAGTTATGCAAGGTCAACTTTCACGGATGACTCCACAAATTTCATTATTTTCGTGCAAGTGATATCATCTTGAAAAAAGTATAGTAAGTTGAAAAATGCTTTCATTGGTTTTACAAATTTTAGTTTCAATCCGTAGTTAGTTTTGGTCACGTTCTTCAAAAAATAAAAAAATGGTCACAAAAATTATTTGTTAAAAATTATTTCAAATTCCATGAGCTATAAAAGTTGGCTTGTCCTAGCGGCTTGCTTGGCACTGTGATATTCATTGGTTTGGAATAATCGTACAACGATGGTGATTCCAGAATAATGAATACCGTACCCACGTTGAGCACAGAGAAGATGATAAGGAAGAGCCGATCGAGGACCATTGCAACAAATGTCCAATCGTCAGAAATCTGAAAAACATAGATGTGTGAGTACCGTATTTCCTTTAACAGAAACCCGCCCAAACCGTCAATTTTGAGCTCAATTATCCCGTCTCCTGTGCATGATATCATGAATTTGTCAACTGATAAATTGTTGATCATAATATCACCAACATTTTATCAATCGACAAATGTTTGATATTTTGCACAGGAACCGAGATAATTGAGCTTGAAATGGATTGTGAAAATTGGCTTCTATGAGAGGAGAACGGATTTTTTTGTTAAAATTTGAAATGGGTTTTTGATGGCGCAAGAGCGAATTAAAATGTTTTCCAAGCCTATTTTAAAAAGAATTTTCCTACTTGCTCAATTTTCCGACAATTATCACAGACTCTTCGGCGTAAATCGGGAAAAACGACATAATAAATATTGTCGAAAAAAGGACAAAATAGAAAACCGTCATTTAACATAGGCTTTAAAAGTACTGTAGATTGCTCTTGCGCCTTTAAGGAGAATTCAACAAGAAGCCCGATTTAAAGTGAAACACAAAAAATTGTCAACTGATAAATTATTTTTCATGATGTCACCAATTTGTTGCTTGTTGACAAATTCTTAATATCGTTCCCCAGAATCGAGATGATTGAGCTCAAAGTTTAGTTGGGCTTCTATTAGGCAGTTCTTCCGGTAATTGAAACGTTTCACATTTTCCCCATTTTAATAATAATCAAAGCTCCCCAATTAAAATCTTACCTCTCCTTCCAACTCATTATGTCTAAAGTGCTCAGCAATGAATCTCACTTGATTCAATAAATTCATAAAAACCACATCATCCACTGTTTTGCTCTTCTGCCGTTTCGTCTTCCTGAACGCCACAGTAGGTGCATTGTTGTTTTGAGCACATAAGTATGGCTTGAGCCTCTGAAAATGAGCTTTATTATTTGTGGTCCCATGTTTCTCCTCATTCCCCCTCCCACATACATTTTCAACATTACTATCATTATTCCTCATTCTCATGTCAAATGTGTTGTTCAAAACAGCCTGCGAGCTCGGCTTCCCCCTCAAACTCATCGCATCGTTGTTCTTTGCCTTGGCCTTGTTTCGGTACTCGTTAGCCGCCTGAATATTCAACGCCTTATTTGACAAACAAATCTGATTGTCGGGGAGGGGAGCTGTTTACCTTCGCCGCCGTTGCATAGTTGGAGCCCACCAAACTTGCCGCGTCGACCAGTGGCGGTTGTTTGGTCACTTCTCCCTTCTCGGGTCGAGACATCATAAGAATTCTGAACAAGGATTAAAGTATAGAATAATCATTTGATCACTCGTACTCACTTCGGCAGAAATTTCAGAAAAACCGCTCTAATCCATGGTGACATTTTATGTGCACTTCCAGACCGGAAGCGGAAATTCACTGTGATAACTGATACCACTGTTGATAAGGCGACAAGTATCATAGTTGTGATCAAATATCTACCAAACATGGGTATCACCAGACTAGTTGGGGGCATCAAGTCAATCAGCACCTGAAGTACGTGCTGCATATCAAAATATAAAAAATGATGAAACTTACCAAGAAGAACACAGTGAGGGTAACCAAAATGGAGATGGAGAACGTAATCTTATGATCGGAAAGATAGAATACAAACGTCGTCAAAATCGAAATAAGAAAACAAGGGATGATTAGATTACATGTGAAAAACAGGGTTTTCCGTCTGAAACCAGAAATCTTAAATTTGAAAAAAACCGTGCTCAATCACCGTAATCCAAAGTAGTAAGTGATATCAACATATTTTTCGGGACCACAACATGACGCATAAAGTACAGAGTGTCGTTCTGAAGTCAATGATAAAAGATCCCATTCCGCTGAACGGTAGAAAAAACTTAAATCCATTCCCTGTTGCATGAATTCTACATCACTACCGTCTTTTGTGATAGTGACAACTTCTTCTAAAAGTTTTGAGCTGTTTTTGGAGTACTGTACCTTCTTGAGACTACTATACCTTGAGGTAGCTGCTTCAAGTCCACATATCGACCAGTATAGGTCCATGTGCCAAACTTCATTTCACATTTTTGAGAGTCGTATGGAAACCATGTGACATCAATCTGCAAATTTCAAGTTTTTCAAATATGTTTTGTTCAAACCAACAGGGCAAAAAGATTTGTAAATCGCTGGTGGTTGCCAATAAACGTTTCCTTCAAATGTCACCAACGCGTCGGTCAATATTGTGATGTCAGGATCTCCTGCTGCGCTGAAAAGAAAAAAAAAGGTTTTTTTTGTGAAATGGAAAACTAGAGACACACTTATTGTATAACACCAGATCAGGGGTCCAAATAAATTCACTCGGTATATGTAAGGTTTTTAGGCCACCATATTTTTCAGGCGTCCATGTTAATTTTGCATCGTTCCATTTCTGAAAAAAACGTATGTCTCCTGGTACGACAATTTTCAATTAAATACCATTTCCAACCACAAATTGGTTGTGAGCACTTGATTCTTCTCATCGACATCAATTATCCTAATAAGAGAAGCACCTACATCCACCGTAAGTATGTCAGAACTGTTTTTGACAGGCCTGGGCACCTGGAATTTCAAAGAATAATATTTAATGTAATATGAGACTTTTTTTTCCATTTTTGTAATAGTATAGGGTATCTTTAATAATTCAACTAGCGCAAAAAAATTTTCTGCACCAGAAAATTTTATAAAAGTATAATCAAATCACAAACCTTATTATAATCAAATAACAAATCTTCATAAAGCTGACTCTCCAAATCCTTGGCTGTCCTCTTTATTTTAAACGCATTAGTCAGACCAGAGGGGACCGCGACCAATACAATTAGGACCCAATTGGATGGGAACATTAGCAGTCGTTTGGTTACGTAGACCATTCTAAATTTGACGAGGTCGTGGAAAACAGAAGACCGAAAAAAAAGAAGCAAACAGATGACAACAATAGTTTTGAAAATGGGAGCAAACGACTAAGAAGCAGTCGAAGGAGCCGAAGAAGTGTGCCGGCTTCTCAAATAAATGGAGCACAGCAAAAAGAGCAGTAGCTGAAGGCCAAAAACGAGAAAACGGAAGAGATGCGCACCAAGGAAAAGGAGATGGAGAGGCGTAGGGGACCCCCACCCGTCAGAAGAAGAAGAAGAAGAAGAAGCAACGAAAAAGATAGGGGAAGAAGTAGAAGAAGACAAGAGGAGTTCTCTAGTTATGTATTTTAGGAATTACGAGAAGATGCAAAACGCGACACAGCAGATGCGTTGTCCATCTTCTGATGGCGTGACTACAAAGAAGAAGAAAAAAGAAGGAAGAACACTTCCACTGACTTTTTCTTTTTATTTCATCTGGATTATTTTTGTGGGACACGGAACACACATTTTTTTCCTGCTCAAAAATTCAATTATTAAGCTTTATTAGTTTGAGCCATGTTGTCATCTTTCTCTGTCCTTGACATCTGGAGACAAACATCAAAACTATTTTTTTTTTAATCGAAACATTTGAAACCACATGGATAATCGCATCATTTTCAATACTTTATCAAATTGAATATCTCACAAAAAAGATTGGTTCGTTTTTTTTTAATTTTTTGTTTTGGAACGAGTCATTGTTATCCTAGTACAAAATGTTGCTGTAAGACCTCACAACCGCAACTACCGTAATTTAGAAATATTCTTATTCTATGAGAGTCATTTTCTCAATTTTCAATCGATTTTTGTTTTCTCAAAAATGTTGATTTTCAGATTTTTCTGGCGAAAAAAGATAGAAAACTTGTCAAAAAAAGTGAAAAACAAAAAAATAAATAGCGAAAATTACAATACCGTTTTTTTAAACAGAAGCACACCTCTATTTAAAGCGCACCTCTAATAGAAGGCCACTCAGCAAAGTCCTTCGAAAAATATAAGTGGACCATCTAATAGAAGCCCATGGAACACTATTGAAAAAAATACAGTAATTCAAAATCCCAGCATTTTTGGAACTGTGATTTCAGAACTCGACAATTTCTCAAACTCTGAATTTTCTATCTTACTAATTTCGGAATTTCAGATTTTCAGATTTTTAGAAATTTTCAGGAATTTCAGAATTCCTGAATTTTAAGCTTTAAGATCCTGGAATCTCATAATTTCATAAATTCGGAATTTTGGAATTTGGAATGGCAGAATGAAAATTTCGAGTTTTTCAAAACACTGAATTTCAGGAGTCTTAACTTCCGAATTGTCGAATTTCTGATTTTATAAATAATTTTTTTTTGAGAATTAGTCATTGAAAATAGAAACTCATAAGCTTCTATTACAGGCAATACGGGTTTTTCAGTTTTCCATTTGCTGAAATGGTTCTTCCAATCTGGAAGAAACTGAAAACATTGAATCTACATATCACAGTGAATTTTTTCAAATAAAAAAAAAGAAGTCCATCTCCTACTATGTACAATTTATTTTACAAAATACTAGAATATTTTTTTGATTCTTTGAATAAATGAATAAACCGGAACAAAAATGAGCAATACATTCAAAAATAGAGTGCAAGTGAAAATCGCCATAAAAACAGTGTTACTATAGAACTAGGTATGTATAACAAAATCAAAGGAGTATCAAAAAATGTGGATCTATGGCTATTCATGATTTTTAAGGTTAATTGTATATTGAGAGCATTGCACTACACCAAAATGTTGAAAGAAAAAATGAGAGAGAATTGGAAAATTGAAGGTAGAAACCCGGTGAGGACAGTTTTGGGATGGGGAGGGATGGGAAAAATGAAAGAAAATACTTAGAAAAAAAAACAAGATAATTACAGACAATAACAAATATAAAATGTTAAAGGATCACATTTGCACTTTAACTACACAGGGGTGTCCTTGGCTTCAGTTGGAGAGGTTTGAGCAATCCATCGTTTTGGAGAAGCATCAGTAGCCAGGGTGATGGACAGCTAGTTCTGCTGGACGCTCTGTAAAAACTCGACACACTTCCAATATCGGAAATTGAGTCATCCATGAAGGAGTCCATGTCGCTGGCAGTGCGAGAAACCGAGAGGAATTCTGAAAACGAAAAATGTTGGAAAAAAAGTTTTGCGTCATTGTTTGAACAGGTGTCGAAATATATAGTGTTGAAATCTTACCCATTCCATTGAGCTCCTCTCCCCAGTCAAGTTCGTTTGTAGTTTGCTGATTGTAGAAGTCCAACTTTTCTCGAACCTGGATTTTTTTTTCATTTTTTGAAATGCTTCTGGCTCCAATAACTTTGATCATACAGTACCGGTCAATAAGATATACAATAACCCGTTTTTCAGTTGATTTTTGGCCAATTTACCTATTTTCAATAGGCTGGAACTCGGCTATCAAGTTTTCTATCTCTTTGAAAACTTCAAAAAGTGTGAAACAGACTTAGATTGAAAACTATGTATTCACAGAATTCCTGGAAATGCCTAGTTTTTCAACTATTCGCCTGTTTATGAAAACCCCCAGCTTATTCACGTTTCGATACTAAAAACGGTCGTTTTTCAGAAATTAGCAAGTAGATGAAAAACTAGAAATATTCTGGAACATTTGTAAATGCAAAAATTTCCATCTAGGTCTGTTCTACACCTTCCAAAATGTTAAAAATTATTGGATATTTGACAGCCGAGCTGCAGACTCTTGAAAATGGTCAAAGTGACCTGAAATCTACAGAAAATATGTTTTTGGTATATTTCACTGACCGGTACTGTAAATTTCAATCGTTCCTTTTTTAATTTTCATCAAAATTTGACAACTTACAGCTTTCAATGAGGCGCCAACATCCGCATATGTCTTAGGAACATCCACATCAACGGTTCCGAACAACTTGTAGATGTCAATGTTGTGAGAAATCGGTTGCGTTGGCTTCTTGAAGCTCTTCTTGACTACTGGAGCCGGTGCTACCGTAATCTTTGCATTATGCTTGATAAGCTGTGGTGGGAGCTCATCCGCCGAATCATCGTCATCATCAATCAGTTGCAAAGTTGGTGGCGCTGATGTTTTGACTGGCTCGTCTTTCTGCAAAGTGGTCTGTAGGCGTTCCAAATAGTGAATAAGGCGATTGCAATCTCTCTTCTGTTCGTAATACGGCTCTAATTCTTCAACATCGATAGGCGCCTCTGAAAACATTCATTTTTCATTTTCATCATTCCCAATTTTACGGGTACATATTTTCTTTCAAAAACGAAGAAAAAATGGGGAGAATGTCAAATTTGGAATGCATGTACATCTAGATGACATTGCCCTCCTGTTATTTCCGTTCTTTTCTACCCGCCCACAACACGCCCTATTTCGCAATACTCACTCATTTTGCGTGCACTTGGGAACGAGAGCGGCACACTGTTTCCGTTCATTTTATTCGCGTTCAGCCAAGTTTTGTACTCTTCACGGTTGTTATCGTAGGCATTGATAAGATCCTTTTTGCGCTCGTTGGCTCCCTGCAATTGATGCTTGAGGTCGCGAATCTCATCTTCGATCATTCTTCGATTCTGTTTCATCATCTTGAACTTATTTTGAAGATTCGTGAGATCTATGTAGACCTTCTGAAAAAAATCAATAATTAGGTACAGTACTGGTCAGCGAGAAAATTTCAAACACGCATTTTTCAGTTAATTTATGGCAACTTTGGCTGTTTTTAGGACTCTTGAGCTTGGCGTTCACGTTTCCGATCACTTTGAAATCTTTTGAGGATGTGAAACAGATATATATTGAAATTTTGCACTCACGGAATTTTCTGAGAGTTCCCGAAATTTCAGCTATCTGCCGGTTTCTGAAAGACACATTTTTTCACGTTTTTGTACCGAAAAGGTGAAAAACAGGAGTCTTCCAGAAATAGGCAATTAGATGACAAACTAGGAACTTTTGAAAAATTCTCTAAATGCGAAATTTTCAATTTAGGTCTGTTTTACATTTTCCAAACATTTCAAAGTGATAGAAAACTTGACAACCGAGTTGCTCGGTACTGTATATATATATAATCCACATATTTTCCCAAAAACCGCACATGTTTCTTATTCCGATTCTTCTCCAGCTCTATATCCATAGCCTTTCTTCCACTGGTTATCTCCGCGAGAGACCTGAAATCTTTCTCTGTTTCAAAAATTATTTTTCGTACTCAAAACTTACTCTAATTGCTTCTTATTCCGTTTAAGAGCGTCAATCTCAGTAACTAGAGCCTGCTCATCACGAGCCGAGAGACTCAGTTTGTAGCGGTCCTCGTTTTCAGAAAGGAGCTTTTCCAGAACATCTTTGTTTCGGATACGACAGTCCTTCTCCAAATCCAATTGTTTTCTTCTCTGAAAAATATAAGAATTCTATCTCTGGGTTTGGGCTACTGTAGTTGTTTTTGACTATTCCTTTCCTGTTTTTTTTCGCTTCATTGCTATGACCTTTTTTCTTTAATATCATTTTTCAATTATTCTATAACCCCTCTCTTTTTAAATTCCTCAGAATAGTCAATCACCCAAGCTGTGGTTTAAAACTAATATAGTGACCGCGCACGTGCACTTTGTATGCTCACAGCTGTTGCTCTATAGTTGCTCAGGCGGCTTCTCTCCCCCATCGTGATGCACAAAGTATGAAAATGCGCACTGACCAGTAGACATTACACTAGACGCAATCTTACAGTATACCGACGCAAACAACATTTGTAATATGTGCTAATTTGCAGTGTGATGTTCTGAATCAGGCTCGCCAAAGAGACTAAAACTTAAGGCAAATTTTTTTCGGCCACTGTAGCTCTCTGACATTGTATAGTAGTAATGTCAGTTAATCATGTACGTATATATGTGACAGATTATTTTGTATAAATGCTAGAACATCGTTTAAGCCGTTGTATCCGGTCAGTCCGGAAACTTGCCTGAGCATCGATATCCAATTTGATCTTGTCACCCCCACGCTTCAGCTCGACAAGCTCGACACGTAGCTGCTCACGTTGAGTTCTCATCTCGTTTTCGATTGGATTCGAGTCTGTGCATTTCTTGCATTTCATTTGGATCTGAAATAAGGTTCATCAGAAAAAAGGTTAGTTGTTCTAAGTAGCCATATTTGCGATTCTTCATAGATCCCTGCTTTTCTAGCTTCGTCTAGCAATTTTCTTTCTTGCCCCAACCCCTGAAATTAGTCACTCAGGAAAGCACCGATTCATTTTATGATTCCCATTATGGGTCATATGCTTTGCCTTTCCCTATTAGCTGTCAATCCATTTTCAAGGTTTTTTTCTAAAAATGCGATTCGACTCTCAAACTCGCTTTAATCAATTTTTAGAATCTGTAATACGCTTCATGTCATTCCAAAAGTCGCCCACTACTTTTCCAATTCAAGTTGGTGCTGTTTTTTTAATAAAAAAGGAATTCTCGGGCTCATTTTTGGATAGGCGGAGTCACCACATTGTATGACATAAGCCCCCGTAATTTATTTATTGCTCTTTTTAATAATTGTTGCGTCCTCCCACGCCTATCCTGTGTTTTATATTAATTCTGTCTCTGGACCGTGACATATGTTATAGGACGGCCCCTCACACACTCCAGTATGAGCTCATTTATCTTAATTTCTATCGAAGATATCAAAAATGTGCCAACTGATAAATACCTTCTGATATTATGATAAACAATCTATCAGTTGTCAACTTTGTTACCTCTTTAACAGAGACAGAGATAAGTTGGCTCAAAGTTCAAAGTTAGGTAGCTTTTCTATTACAGGTCACTGCTTGTTCAAATTGATTTCTGAGTTCCTCTGGATCACAAAATACATTTCCCCCACAAACCTGTGATCGAATTTTCTGCATTTCCACGTGAAACTCTTCCAAATCATTTTCAAACCGTTGACGATCGGGTGGATTCGTTCCCATCTTTTCGTTGACCTCTATGATATCATCCAGTGGTCGACTCTCATGCATTTTTTCTCCTATTACCTAGAAAAAAAAACAATTTGGCAAATATCACTAGATTTTTATTCAAGAAAACAAAACGAGAGAAACAAAAATCAAAGTTTGACGGGGAAAAAAAAAGACGATCCTTGAAGAAAATGATGAGAAAAATTGACCGAGAGAAAAAAATCGCGTGAGAGAGAATGTGATCTTTAAGAGGCTGCAGAGTAAGAAAGAAATGAAGGTAAGAAAAAAGAAAAGTGCATTTATATGCGGGGAAAAAAATAGTAGAGTTTGAAACGGCGGTTGAAAAAATCGGTTAATCAAATACTCTTATCATGTAAAGTGACGGAAAAAAATGACCAAGTACGGCGCGAAGACTGAATTTACAACGATGATACTCCGTTCAAAGTGTGCTCAATTACTCATAACGGAAAAAACAGTGTCTTTCAGTAGAAAATGGAAGATTCTAGAGCATAAATCTAAAATGAGACAAACATTTGTGGCCTATTTTATCCAAAGCCTTCCGCTTTCAGTGTCTAAATGAATACCGTATTTTCTCTGATAGAGGCCCATCTTATTTGCGCCCTTTGAGCTCAATTATTCCAGTTCTTGTCAAAGATATGTAAAATCTGTCAACTGAAAAATTATTCATCATAATATCACCAATATTTTATCAGTCGACAGATTTTTAATATCTCTCATAGAAATCAAGATAATTCAGCTAGGCTTCTATTGGAGAAAACACGGTTTATAAAATACAGCTTTTTATTTCCCTGGACTTAGCAATTCTGAGCAAAAATCTGCATCACGGGACCCCTAAACCTCACTTTCTGAGCAAAATATCTCCACCCATCTCCAAAAAAGTATCCAGAAAACAATTCAGTAGTGATTAACCGACCTTAAGCGCAGAAAAATAACTAGACCTCCTTCTATGGTGACATATTACACAACCCTTAGCAACATGTATGTCCACAAACTAATGATATCGGTCGATCGGAAGGGAAACGCAGACGTCGAGGGTGCGAACATTTTCGAAAATATACGAAAAAAGTTGTTGTCGTCCGGCACTCATCTAGCAAAAAAAAAAGATAGTTGAACTTGCAAGTTTTTTTTGCAAATCAATCTAGCAAAATAGAAAAATAAGAAGTCGTGTGATAAAGAATCATGTACAGCTGACACAAATCTATTCCAGCTTAGACTTTCTTCTGGAAGCTTAACCGTTTCCGTCGTCGCCAATCCTTATCATACGTCATTTAACCAATATATATATGAGGAAAACGTACAGGACAGAGAGTGCGGTCAATGAGGGACCATAAAAACCCTGGAGACGCAGACCAAACAGAAGAGACCATTGCAGAGGCCAGTTGGGCAGTCAGTCTTCTCCTCACTTTTTCCCCTCTAGCCCCCATACGTTTCTCGGCGTCTCTCCTCGTTTACTGTTGTGCTGCGACCTCTCTCGCGAACGAAACGCAACGGACGGGACGGGGTCGGGCCTAGGCACACACACAACCACGACTGACACGTCTATATTGTTGTGTCCCGGAGACTATCCACCACTCCACTGTAACCCCCCTTATACCCCACAAAAACCCAAAAAAAAATCTAATTTATTCTCCCAAAAAACTGTAAAACTTCCCAAAAAAAGTAATTTTTAACTTCTCCATCTATTCCATCTAAAAGTGTCGTCAGCTCATCAACCATCAAGAATCATCCCGGAAAGTAATAAGAACAAGTAAGTTTGGGAAAATTTTCTTTGAAATTCGAATAGGGTTAATGTCAGAGGGATACTGTATAAGAGGGACAGTGTAGAATTTCTTACTAAAGCTTGTTTTTTTTTTCTACAATCCAATACAGTAGGACACTTTTGCTGTTTCTAGATTTTTTTTAAATCCCATATTAAAGATTCAGAAAGTACTGTAGGTAGAGTACTACCAATTTAGCTTTCTCCCAAAGAAGCAAAACATCCGTACTACTGAAAAACAATTGAAAAGTAAATCCTGAGCCACACTGCTCATTCTTAGGTTGGCCAGCGCGAGAATTGGCACAGACATTGCTCATTTTTAAAGCGATTTTCTTCTAGGTTCACTAGGACTTCAAGAGAATACTGTAACATGAAATCTGATCATATTCTTCACCTTGACTCATCATCATTTTTCTAACCGAACACCACAGCAAAAATTGAGAGTCCAATCACCGAAGTGTTTCGCAATCAGTTGTTCGTTGGAGAACATCTCGATCACATGTGTCAACACAAAATGCAAAAACAATCTCTTCGATAGTCTTGGTCTTCCAGCTGATTTCCTTCCAAGGCATTATTATCACTTCCCAACACCTGTTTCAACATCAGGTTCCCTTTTCGTCGCCATGTTTTCCCTTTAAACAAGTGAAACAAGAAAATAGCCGGCTTGCGACAGATGAAAAAAGTGGCCATAAGACAGTCATGTTTATGTGCTATTGAAGTTGTCGAGAACACATGAATCATCCCGAAGCCCTCCTTTCACTACTTGTCGCTCTCTCTCTTTCCCTCTCTTCGGCCTGTGTGTTGGTTATTGTCGAATCATCATCATCAGACACCGAAACTATTCATCCAACAGCCGCATTCCTTGTTCGCCACCCACCACCGAGTCCTAGATAATATCAATCTATGTCTTGCTTTCGATATCTACCGGGGAGACACATGATGGGGGAGTAATGCAGCTTGTCGTCGTCCGACGATATCAGATCCAGAACCAATTGAAAAAGATAACGCCGAAAACGAATCAATTCAACGATGAGAGAATTCTATGCATATAGGCAATACCGTACAAGCGTACTCTCTTTTTCCAAACTCCGGGAATTTTCCCTTCCGATGACGGTATCAGTTTCAACCCTCCTCCGCAATCGTTCTTCTGTTGGCATCCTGCAACACAGAAGAACAAAAAAAATCTATATTCAATAAACGATAAAAATGCAGCAGCAAACTGGTGAAAAAAAGAAGAAAGAAGCGGCCCCCGTTGGCTTCTTCTCTTCTCTTTTCATTTCTTTTTCCTCAACGCGCTCGTTCAAACACTACTCCGCTACTTTCGGATCATGGACGAACTTTGGAGGAAGCATTTTCCAGCTATTTTTCATATGTTTTCAAAAAACTAATGTTTTCAGGAGTGGTGGCGTTTTAGTAAGCTTTGCAGATACCGCATTCGGTCAATGAGAAAATTTTTAAAACGCATTTTTCAGTTGATTCTCGGACATTTTTTAGGAGTCTCAAGCTCGGCGTTTAAGTGTCGGACCGTTTTGAAAACTTTGGAGGATGTGAAACAGATATAGTTTAAAACTTCAAATTTGGAGCACTTTTTGAAAAATTCTAGCTTTTCAGTTATTTGTCGATTTCTGAAAAACACCATTATCAGTACAAAATGGATCAAAAATGGGTGTCTTTTAGAATGTGGAAAATATATGAAAACCGGTGATTTTTCAAAACATTCTGTGCATGTAAAGTATTCAATCTAGGTCTGCTCCACGCTCTCCAGAAATTTCAAAGTGATCGGATACTTGAGAGCCGAGCTCGAGATCCCTGAAAATAGTCGAAATCACTTGAAAAAACAAAGTTGTTGCAAATCTTATGGACCAGGTACAGTAGATATAGAAAAAAAAAATTGAAAACACTGCAATCAGCTCAACTTTTCCGATAAGAACTAGCTTTTTTAGATGCGTTTTACTGCGTGGAACCCATCTTTAGAATTTGCTCCCATTCAATTGTTAGAGTGGAGAAGGTTTCGCAATTTGATGACGCCTTGTTTTTTTGGTTTCGCCCATTCTCGCGCTCTTAGATTTTTGAGAATTTCATTTTATCAGTATTATCTTCATTCTGCTCAAAAACATAAAAAGCCATATCATAGTTCATCCGGCGGGCGGAGTGTTAGAGTAGTATCCGCGTTGTTAGGTTTCCAGGTGAGTACTACCGTCATTGCCTTCTTCCCAGAAACCCAATTTTGCGCATCATCATTTTTTCTAGCCCGGAAAAGAAGAGAGTGGGAGAGAGGCGAATGGGAAATGGGAAACGTGCCCACACCATTCTCCCTTCTTTGTCTTCCTCACCTTCAGTCATTCTTCTTCTTCTTCTCTTTTTCCTGACTCTTATCGAACGGAAATTCGTCCTTTTCCTGATGCTCACTTTTGCCAATTTTTGAGGCTGTCCCAACACTTTCTTTCCAAAATGTTCTTCCTTTCTAACACTTCAATCTAATCTTCAAACAGCTAATTTCATTTTTTCAGGATGGCCCAAGTTCCACCACCAACAGCTCAAGTGGTTAACACTGCTGCTCCAGCAGCGCCAGCTACAGTACCAGCAGTTGGAGGACAACCACCAGTCGGAATGGGACCACCACCAGCAAACATGGGATATCCACCAAATGCCACTTACTCGATGGCCTCTCTCTACATCGGAGACCTTCATGGTGACGTCACCGAGTCGATGCTCTTCGAGAAGTTCAGCATGGCAGGACCAGTGCTTTCGATCCGTGTGTGCCGTGACAACACCAGTCGCCTGTCGCTCGGATATGCCTACGTCAACTTCCAACAACCAGCAGACGGTAAGCACTTTCCCAGGAATGTCTTAAATTAGATCCTAATCGCACTATTCCCATCTGCCACGTCATCATTAGTAACATGAATTAGGACATACACTGTGTGCACAGGCTAAAGGGTATCTCATCCCCCCTCCCCACACAAATGCACACATTGTGCAATCACCCGAACGCCCCACAACACACATCAACGTCCAAAAAAAAAGTTGGTGTTTTCCAACCTTGCCTTTCCATTCACACCTCTCTTGCCTTCTGCAGAGATAGAAATGCGTGCGCGCGCAATAGAGTCCTCTCCCATCCACGTCATGTGTTCCTCTTCTATGTGACGTGGTGTTTTGGGAGATAAAGGAACGTTGGAAAGGGGATGGGGATGAGTGACGCACTATAAATAGAGTGAACATGAAAGAATATGAATAATTGAGAGAGTGGATCAGAGTGACAAATGTTGTATGGAAGGGGATCAGCCTTAATGAGAAGCAGGTGCAACTATTTCAAAGGAACGCTTAAAAAGGGACACTTGTTTAAATCATGAGGTATTAGGTACAAACGCAATGAACCATTTAATCTTGTATGAATTTTTCCGGAAACTTTTCTTTCGAATTTCTTCACGATTTTTCAGATTTATTCGAAACGACAACGTTAAAGAAACTGTCTGGTGCTTAAACTGATATAACTCTGCTGAAACTAGCGAGCAAATTCTGGAACTTTTCGAACTGTGTAGATTAGCTAATCTCATTATATCCTAAAATTTTCCGGGAAATCTGGAGTTTGTAGACATAATGAGGTATTAGGAACGCGATGAATTTCACGCTACCAACCAAAAAAATAAATTTCCAAGAAAAATTATTTTTCAGCTGAACGTGCCTTGGACACGATGAACTTTGAAACAATCCATGGACGCCCGATGCGCATCATGTGGTCTCAACGTGACCCGGCTGCTCGTCGTGCTGGAAATGGAAACATTTTCATCAAGAACTTGGACCGTGTCATTGACAACAAGTCAATCTATGACACGTTCTCGTTGTTCGGAAACATTTTGTCGTGCAAGGTGGCCGCCGATGAGGACGGTAGCAGCAGAGGATACGGTTTCGTTCATTTCGAGACTGAGGAATCAGCTCAGATCGCCATCGAGAAGGTCAACGGAATGCTTCTGTCTGGAAAGAAAGTGTAAGTGGAAGAGAATCGTGCATACATTTTCAATGCGTTGTTTTTCAGTTACGTCGGAAAGTTCCAAACACGCGCTCAGCGTCTCAAGGAGCTCGGAGAGAGCGGATTAAAATACACCAATGTCTTCGTCAAGAACTTCGGAGAGCACCTCGACCAGGAGAAGTTGACCAAAATGTTCAGCAAGTACGGAGAGATCACCAGTGCCGTTGTGATGACCGATGCTGATGGAAAACCAAAAGGATTCGGATTCGTTGCCTACGCTGATCCAGATGCTGCCCAGAAGGCTGTCGACGATCTCAACGAGAAAACTTTGGAAGGAACCGACTTGAAGCTTTCTGTCTGCCGAGCCCAAAAGAAGTCAGAGCGTACTGCTGACCTTAAGCGCAAGTATGAAGCTTTGAAGCAGGAGCGCGTTCAACGCTATCAAGGGGTCAACCTCTATGTCAAGAACATTGACGAGGAGCTCACTGATGAAGGACTTCGCGCTCACTTTGCTTCGTTCGGAACCATCACTTCTGCTAAAGTCATGGTCGATGAGAATGGCAGATCTAAGGGATTCGGATTCGTGTGCTTCGAGAAACCAGAAGAAGCCACTGCAGCTGTCACTGAGATGAACTCCAAGATGATGGGCTCAAAGCCGCTCTATGTGGCTCTTGCTCAACGCAAAGAGGATCGTCGTGCTCAGTTGGCATCGCAGTACATGCAAAAACTCGCTACTCTTCGCATGGGACAACAGACCAACGGAGTTCCAGGAATGGCTCCAATCTATCCACAAGGACAACAAGGATTCTTTGTTCCAAATCCAATGGCTGTGAGTTCACCGATTCCTGTTAGCTTTGTAAACTTATCCCAATCTTATTTCAGGCCCAAGGACGTCCAGTCTTCCAACCACCAGCGGCTCCAATGCGCGGACCACCAGGTCCACCAGGACAGCGCATCTTTAACAACCAGTACATGCAGTACCCAGCTTACAACCAACAACGCCAAGGATACCCACAACAACAGGGACGCCCACCAATGCGCACACAGGATGGCCGTCCACAGTATGGCATGGCTTCAAGACCAGCCGGACCACCACGTGTTGGAGGACCAGGAGTCCAGATGGGAGGAGCTCCAATCAGACAGGTAAGTGTTGAAATTACTGTAGCTTTCACAATCAACGCTACGCGAATAGAAAGGCAGCCGAACTGCCACTGTTGAGCTCGTATATTTCGGTTTATGTGAAAGATATGAGAAAGTGGTCAGCTGGCAAAATGCTTATGATAATATCAAAAATACTTTTAAAGTTAAACACGTTTTGATATCTTTCACAGGTATTGAGATACATGGGATCAAAGTTGACAGCTCGGGTCTATTGGGCGAAATCATGGGCTTTGCCCATTTTGTTCGAACTTGGGCGCCTTTTCGGCAAAGTTAATGCGCCGCCGCTTTTTGAGAACCTTTTAGACAAACCTAAGGCCGAGGTTTTTCAGCATTCAAGCGTTGTTTGCACCTTTCTGTGTTTATCTTAAGCCAACTAGCGCATAATAGACGACAGTCGCAGCCGGGTAATCCTTATACATTAAAGGGCTTGAGTATTTGAATAGCATTAAAAGAAAAAAGTGACAATGAAAGAATAGCCAAATCCGAAATTTTACTTTGCATCCAAGATTTAAAATCGCGATTTAGGACCGTAGAGTCCAGCGAATTCTGTTCAAAGCCATCCGAATTAGATAACACTTAAGATTGGTGACTTTCGAGTTTTACCTGCTTCATTTTTCAGCAAGGAGGAGCCCCACGCGGAGCACCACAACAGAAACCATTTTTCCAAGGACCGCCACGTCAACAACAGCATGCTCAACAACACACTCAACAAGCACCACAGCCAACTCAGCAACAAGGACAGTCTGGAATCATCATCCAAGGACAGGAGACGCTCACTTCTCACATGCTTGCTCAAGCCGCTCCACAAGAGCAGAAGCAACTACTCGGAGAGCGTATCTATGCTCTTATTGAGAAATTGTTCCCAAGCCACAAGGATGCTGGAAAGATCACTGGAATGATGTTGGAGATTGACAACGCTGAGCTGATCATGATGCTTCAAGACGGTGACTTGTTCAGAAGCAAGGTCGAGGAGGCCAACTCGGTGCTCACGAATGCTCAGGCTGCTGCTGCGCCAGCTAACTAGGAATCACAACTTGTGATTCATCTTTTTTTCCCTGAATCTCTGATATTCAGAGTTTTAAATCAATCAATCAAAACATCGTTTGGCTATACTTTTCTCTATTGAAAGCAGTTTTCAGTCTGCATTTCATTCTCTTTTTCTCATCGTTTTCTCAATTTTTCTTACCTTTTCTCACCCCCAATTCTCTCTTCACCATCAAAAATTTTCCATCCCTATGCTTATCCCCCGAAAAAGTCAAAATCCAACCTAAAAAACAAAACAGTCTTCTAAAAAAACAATAAAAAACAAAATTTCAAAAAAAGAAACATAAAATAAAATACAAAAAATCCGATTGGTATTTAAAATTGATTTTTTTTCTTCTCCATTTCTTTTGAACTGCATTGAACCTGATTTCTCTAACGAATTTGTATAGTATCGCCCTAAAATCCCAAAAAAAAGCCCCCCCCCCCCCTTTCAAACCCGTCTCCCCTCCCTTCTGTCATTACCTTCACTTTCCTGATGCTTCAAATTTTCTTCGTGTACCTTTTTGCCACTTTCTCCAGGTCTGCAAACCTCTAAAATTTCCATTCTACCGATCTGGAAAGAGTGACATTCCTCCCATTACTTGGTTTCATATTTGTCCTGTCTTGTATTGTATTCTGCAGCCCCAGCTCAGAACAAATAACCCCCACGATCCGGCCATCCCAATTTTTTTCAACAAGAAACGTTCATTTCTTTGGTCCCCCTACCAGTCCGATTAATAAGATTAATAATAATTTATGACTTTTCCCCTGGACCCAACCTCCCCAAAAACCATTTTCCTTTGGTTCCCTTGTCGATCCATATCCTCCCGGATACATCGACTATTCTGTGGTTTTCCCGACATCCCACCATCTTGTCGTTTTCCCAGAATTCACTCATTTTGTCATTTTCTTTCAGTTGATTTACCATCTTTGTGTCCTGATTAATGATAAATGTCTACTGAAGAAATCCAGTGTTTTTATTTGTTTATTAGAAGAGCAAGCCTGCTATCAAGGCTTTTGATCTCTTACAGGATGAGCACAGGCATGTCTCAGCAAAACTCAGATGTACCAAGATACCAGGATGAAAAAATAAGAAAATTTTAAAAAATCGAAATTCAGCTCAGTATCTGCCTGGAAGACTTCTAGCAAAATTGAAAAAAAAAACTCTATTTTATGTCAAAAACAATGACAGCTTAGAAGAGAAGATGCCCGATAATGTCATCTATTAAACATCAGTTAAAATAGTGAAATCACCTGAAAAATTACAGAAAGATCATCTGCAAAAACATTTTGAGCATTCTCTGATTTATTATCCTAAAATCACTTTTCAATGCCTGAAAGTGTTTTCAAATTCTGAAAACCTTTCAAATGGCTGATTTACGCTGTTCGAAGACAAAAGAAATCAGCTTAGCGCTTGAAAAGTAAGATTATTTTAAAAAAACAAATCCGCTTGAAAGTCCAATGAGCCCATAAAAGTGTTTTCAGGAATCAAATAGCACTTTCAGTCTTTGAAAAGTGAACATGAAGCTTTAAATCAGTAGATACCAACAAAAAAAGCTTTAAGATAACCGAATAAACTTTCAAAACTTTACAAAGCTGAACAAATTGAGAATGCAAAAATTTTACAAATGATGAATTGTTTAGTAACACCTTTCAACTATCATAGCACCAAAAGTTTTTGTTTCTCAAAAATGCAGAATGCACTGGAACCAATCTTACGCCAATTGCTTTCTTCAGCATTCATTATCAACTGTTCTTCAAACCATTCTCCCACTCGAACACACTCCAATTGATAAAGTTAAGCGGTTCAAACTGATTTCACACGTTTCGTGCGCTGATTCTACAAACTTTCACACACTTTACTCGTCACCACAAGAGTTGTTCAATTTGAAAAATATTTATTGATTCTCTCAATAACACTTCAATGGTCTTTCGTGAGTTGGATAGCATATCGTTAAACCTTTAAAAGAAGGGTCTCTACACTGTCAACTTTCAGCTCAATTATCTCAAGTCTTATGCAAGATATCAAAAACATTTCATTTAACAAAAGATTTATGATATTAAGGTGAACAATTTATCAGTTTGCAACGTTTTTATATCTCTGACATGGACAAAGATAAATTAGCTCAAAGTTGAAAGTTAGGAGGACATGGACAAGATGAAGGAAACTGAAATCACGAAGAAGTTTTTTTTTTCGAGACAAGAAGAAAATGGATGACACCCAAATTATAGGATAGTTTGTTCGACGAGAATCTCGCCAAATCCGGCTGGCGGCTCTTCGGTGAAGTTTTTGAATTTGAGATCGAGAATGGCAGAGTCATCAACGTAGACCATTGGGTAGACCTGTAAAATGTTGTTTTTTTATCACACTTCAGCGGTTTGTGTTATGATCTCCATATCATTGAAACAAAAATCTCCATTTCTGAACTTATTGCTAATATGAAGCCTTTCTTTCTAATCATTCTACTAATCTCCCTATTTTTGAGAAACATTAGCACGAGCTAGTTCTATTATTATTAGTGACATTCAGTCCTTTTATCACTAATCCTAGCCTCCAAATCCTTACCGGCCCCTTCACTCCTGTGATCACATCGTCCACCGGCTTGCCATTTACGTAGAATTTGAGCTCCACGTGGTCGTAAGTGACTCCCTGAAAACAACACATTAGCAACTCTAATTATTTTGGATTTCTTACCACTACATCACCCTCTTCTACTGTCTTTGCCATTTTGGCTATCACTTGGTCCTCTTTCCAATATCGCCGTTGTCTCGAATGCCCCAGAATTTTTCGGTGCAAGGAATCTTGTCGAAAGGTGATTGTTTTTGGCCAAGTCCAATTCCCCAAATACCTGAAAATAGGAGTTATAGTGATTTTTTACAAATTTCTTTTGAAATCTTTGATCTCCAATGCACAAACATATGTCTCGATCTTGCAAAGTAAGCAAACTTTTGATCTTGAGTTGATTTTTAATGCTGACTTAGATTTTCAAACAGTTGTTGGTCGTTAAAATTACTTCCAGATTATCAGCGGTATGTTGAAATTGCAGGTTTTCCTTTCTAAATAGTTTTCTACGCTGTACACAACCGAATGAACTCAAATTAGCTGTAATTATTCTCAAATCTATAAAAATGCAAGTGTTTCCTGACTTCTTTCTAAATATCATTTTTCAGTAACAGTGATCACAGAGCCACGATCCACCGTACATCTGTAAAAGAAAATCCCCTACACTGTCCTTCTATTATAAGTTCTACGGTATCCCATGAGTCATGGTAAACTGTATTCTAAATCTTATACTTGGCTTTTCCACTCTTTTGATCCTTTCTAATTCTAGTCTAAAATATATAGTCTAAAATATATTTATCCATTTTCTTCTTCTAATTTTCGGAATTTCTTTGAACAATGAATCAGCTAATTCTGTACAAAAAAAAACGAAGGAGAGTGCACCTCCCGTCGTGAATATTGCTTTATCTGACTGGCGGTGACGGGAACCACCGCGCCAGACACTGTTCGCTTGTCTTATGTTTCTGTCTTTTTCCCCAGAACTTTGTTAAATACTCGTTTGATACTCACCGGTTTGCTGAACTGTAACTTGAAAATAAGCTTTGTTTTGGACAATTGGCACCGTAGCGATTGCTCCTCCAATTCCACAAATCCTCTCTCCTTCCTTTAAAATCACCACGTTCTTTCCTGTAAATTAGAATTTTGTATTTTAATATTTCTATTCCCATGTATACTTACCCATTCTACCAACATCTAATCGGACTGTTGGTTGGTAACTTGCATTGAAACGTGGATAGGGGACATTCTCGAAGCTTGAGCTCTCCATACAGTCAAAACACGGAGTAAGGCATGAAAACAAACTGCGGAAGTTTTCCATCTGAAATGTTTTGAAAATTTATTTTTGCAATAATTTTGAAACTGGCGTGGAATAATGGAAACACCCGGCAGCAACGTAAGAAAAAGGTTCAGAAAGTGTTCAGAAAGTTTTTCGTTTCAAATCCTGTTAATATGTATGCTTTTGGATTATTCTAGATTTCAACACTTGCTTTTCTTACTTTTTTGCTGAAAAAATTGATAAAAAGAAGCAAAACTTGCAAAATTAACATGCAAAAAGCACGAGAATGGCAAGAGCACATGGAGGTTCTCAATAGAGCGCGTTTGCGTATCGGCCTCCGGGCTGGCCAATGACAATAGAGAGAGCGCGCGAGACAAAGATGCGCATACACAGTAGACCCGGACATTCATCACAGTGTGGGGGCCTCCTCGTTCATTCGAATACAGACCGCCGTTGCGCATAGTCCGTTTTCTTACCCCACCAAGGTTGCCCTTTCCCTCACTCGGTCTTCCCTTCTCACCCTCATTGCGCTCATGTTCTGACCGCGACGGTTTTACGCAACCGAGGGCACCCTCCTTCGGCTGTCGCATTTTTCGATGTCTCATCCTCACTCCCATTTTTGCCCGCGGGATTTGGTTTTTCGAAATTTGAATTCATCATTTTGTTCTTCTTCGCTTCTTTTCTCATATGTTCTTCTTTCTTTTCGTTCAAAATTTTCTTTCAGGCCCAGAACACAAGAAAAAAGAATGTCGGAAAACTTGTACGGAGAGGAGAACCGAGGCGAGATGGTTCGGTTGCAAAAAATGATGAAGAACATGAATTGTGGGGGACCCCGGCCTGCAGCGCTCACTTTGAAGGATTTCAAAGTTGGAGAGGTACGGTAGGCAAAACTAGACTAGCTGAAATCTACCCAAATTCGAAAGACTAGGTTTCCTTGAATTCAAATTTTGGGATACTGTACTTTTTTCAGAATTAGAGTAATGTCTGATCTTTCCCCTCTAAGTCAATAATCATGATGGCCATTTTAAGTAGGTACGCTGTATACACAAACAGCCCTCGAGGAGTGTGAAAAGGATCGTAATCTTTCTAAGGTCGTCTGCCATATGTCGCCATGTGTTTCTTTGAATTTGACACCCGCCGAGATCTCTCTAAAAATTTGAATCTAAATTTTTCGAAATTCAATTTTCCAGTTTCCCAAACTAGTTTTGGAAAAGAGCAATTATTGTTTAACAAACATTGACTTGTCTTATCAGTGTCGGCGTGTCGTCAAATGAGAGAAACAAATGGCAACATTTTTGTGGGACGTTCTGCTGAGTTTGCACTACCTTTGGCGGTTAGTCAGAGTCAATAAGAAAAATATTGGAAATAAGAGATAAAGAGTTGCGATTTAAATGAGAAGCGAACGAAATTTGAATAGGCTCTGCTTTTTTGGTCTCATATTTCTGGTAAGAGATCTTAGAATCTCCAGTTTCACAGAATATCTCATCTGGGGAAAAAGAATCAAAGAAACATTTTCAAACACCGGAAGAAAGAGCTTTCCTGATGTGTAAAAAGACTACTGAACAGGGTTTTTAATCCGAGGATTTTAAGAATGGACACCAGACACATTTGACAAAAAAATCAATGATTAAACAATTTTTGAATAGGAAGTTATAATTTCTGCGAACTCTAAATAAATAGAGGGTTGTTTTGAAGATATTGACTGGAATGTACAAATTACAATTACTTCGAAAACAGAAAAATACTGTAAACAGTTTAATAGAATGCCTCCCATATCGTCAACTTCAAGTCAATGTATCTCTTTTCTTGTAAGAGATTTTAACAAGTGGTCAACTGACAAAATGTTATTCATAACAACACTAATATTCTGTTAATTAATCATTATTTGTATCTTTGACAGGATTCAAGATAAATTTTCTCAACTTTGAAAGTTAGGAGGGACATGCTATTAGATCTATTACTCTTGTCCGAAATCAATGCACGTTGCGGTCGAGAAAACAACGGTGGGCGGAGTTTAGCTCCCACATCGAGAACCTTTCTGTATTTTTCAAATTATTGCACGTGCCTTTAATACAGTACCTCAACATTTATCGAATTTTCTCAAATTTCTCTTATTTTTTCGCTTGTTTCTGTCTAATTTTGTGTAATTCTTATAAATCTTAAATTTATTTTTCTTATTAATTAGAAAAAAAAACAGCCAAATAGGGTCCAAAATAAGAAACGTCCGAGGTACGGTATTTGAAGGCGCATGCATCAATTTGTTTTTCCGCTGTGCGACCGACGATGCGATTTTGAGTAAATTTTCGGCTGCATTGATTTCGGACAAGAGTAATATTAGATTGTTCGCGGTTCCTTCATTGGATCAATTGTTCAATGTTTGGAATTGTGTTGTACTACCGTACTCCAACGAACTCCTAATATTTCAGGCGCTTGGAAAAGGTGCCTACGGACATGTATACCGAGTGAGGAACATGCAAGATGGAAAAGACGTGAGTTTCAGAGCAAAAAACGTGTTTTGCCCAACTAAGAGCAATTTCAGTACGCCCTCAAGCAAATCGTAATGTCAGCGAGCCGCGACGGTGTCCCTCAAAGTGTCATTCGTGAGATTGCAGTTATGAAACGTCTCACCCGCCAGGCCCATCCAAATGTGGTATCCCTTCGAACAGTGCTTCATACTGTCGACACCAGTCGCAATATCATCAAGATTGCCATGATTATGGAAATTTGTGACTGGGATTTGCACACATTTCTGCAAAACGTTCCAAAAGTGATTCCGGAGAAACAAGCAAAGCATATTATTGGTCAAATGATGAAAGGACTCGACTTTTTGCATTCTCATGCAATTATTCATCGTGATTTAAAACCGCAGAACATTCTGGTGAATCGGGACCAAACAGTGAAGCTTGCCGATTTCGGACTGTCCAAGAAGTACACTAACACCAGTGCCTTTACTACTTGCGTGAGTTTTTTTCAATATCTCATAATTAACTATAGCAAAATTCCCAAGCCAACACCAAATAAGGTCTGACTGGAAGCAGACACGTCCCGGACCGGGTCTGCGGAACCAAAATTTTGAAAGAGCCATTTTTCGAGAGAAATATTGATTCTGTGGTTACTTCATACAATTTCTTTGTTCCCATGGATGAAGTGGCTATAAGAAGGAAACTGGGACGAAAAATTGAATGAGGGAGTATTTTCTACCATTTTCCTGAATATTTTCTACCATTTTCCAAATTTCAGGTGGTGACACTTTGGTACCGTGCTCCGGAAGTGCTTCTTCAATCCTACTACAATAGTACCGTCGACATGTGGTCCATCGGATGCATCATATACGAAATCTACAATCGTGTACCATTGTTCCCCGGTCCAGACGAGGCTCAACAATTGCATGAGATTTTCAAGTGAGTTAAAATTTCCACGGAAATTTGTTCTGGCGGTTTACCAAAAAATTAACTCACACTTTTTCAGAAAGCTGGGAACACCAATTGGAACTGACTGGCCGAAACAATCTGTCCTCACCAAAGACACGTTCCCTCACTACACTGGTATCTCAATGACTTCTGATGTCACTGGAATGAGTGCAGCCGCTCTCGACTTCTTCAAACGTTGCCTGATTTACGATCCAGCTAGACGTATGGGTTCTCGCGCGGCATTGGGCCATGAGTTTCTGAAGTTGAAGCCAGTTTCTGTGAAGCCAAGAGTTCTCCGTCAACTCAGATTCAATAATCTCTAAACTACTCTCCTCATATTTCTTTATCTTGTCTATCATTGCTCCTAATTAGTCCATCTCATATCTAGCAATCTTTTTTTTTGGATTTCTAATTTTATTTCACATAAAAACGTGTATATATTTTTTTCCATCAACGTTTGGTATCTTTTTTTGTAATGTGATCTCTCCATCTTTTCTTAAATGTTGATATATACCAAGCCAACACTGAACACTGTGACAAAAATCTTTTTATTGTAATTTTTTCAAATATTTCCATAAAAATTGACTCCATGGAAACCATTGTTGTTAGATCTTCAGTATGACGACAGCTTTTGTACGGCAGTTGTTGTGGCGGGGAAGTTTTGAAGTCTTTATTGGCTCTCCTCACAGCAGTAAGATGTGAGCTGCTCCATGGTAACACCTTTTGCGCAAATGTCATGCAAATCCTCTTCTGGAAAAAAAGCAATAATTGAATTGTACAAAACAAATTTGTGAAAAACCAACCTGATGGAATCGAGCATTTCTCCGATGGGTCACAGTATTTTTCCAAGATGTTTAACATTTTAGCACCGCAATATCTCTTTCTGATAAATTTTGCAGGTCCGGCCTGAGCGCCCAAGAAGAGGATGAGGACTAAAACCGTGAGTAGAATACTGATCTTCATCTGAAAATTAAAATTTGTATAGAAGTATGAAAAGGTTATGAGGACAAAAGTTATGGGAGTTAAAAAGGAAGAAATGATATGAAATCCTTTACTGAGCTGAGCTATTTAAAGCGAAGTTGGGCGGATTTTCAAAAGAGGCGGAGCTTTCGAATGAGTTGCAAAAGACAAGGGAGACTCCCCACCTTTGACCTGGGCCAGCCTACTTTTTTTCACGAATCGTCAAAATTGAAGGTTCTTTGAGATCAAAAACAAAAATAAGTGGAAAATATGCAGATCTTTTTTTCTAAAACGATTTTGAGAAAATCATGAAGAAGATAGGTGTAGAGCATGCAAAAAAATCATCTGACGGGAGGGGTGGAGTGCAAGGAAGCGAAGAATCACGAGAGTATGACAGCACTTTGCTAGTGGAGGATGCGCTGAGATAAATAGCTAATCTGGTTGAACGGCTGTGCGTGGATCACATCTCTTGGGTTCGGTTTCGTGTAAAAGCTGACCACTAGAAGTTGTGGATTTTTGAGAAAAAGGATTTATTGATCGATAATGTGAGTTAAATCACCTTTTCAGTGTTTTTTTTTAGAAATTTGAAGACCCTCCGAAGGGATTTACCGTAAAAAATCTGATATTATGCTCCGCCAAGCTGTTAATTAAAAATCCGTATATCTCATTGTCTATTAAAGATATCAAACAGTAGTGAACTGATAACATGTTTATTATAATATCAAAAACATTTTGCTAGTTGACCACTTTTTGATATCTCTTACAGGAACCGAGATAACATATTATTTTATTAGAGCGTTTACGGTATCCGCCCAGTGTACGGTATCCCATCGTATCGGGTTCGGGTTTTTTTCTATAGCTAGCCTCAAAAAATTATATTTTTTTGGAATTAAAAGCTAAACTGGAATTAAGAGCTAAGAATCAAATCTCAGTGATTTTTAGGCGTGGTCTTGTTATGTGAAGACCATCCGAAGGCATTTACAGTAAGAACTCAATTATAATGCTCCCAAATTGGTTAGTTTCTGTCATTATATCTTATTTCCTGTAAAAGATTTCAAAAGTGATGTACTGACAAAATGTTCATCATAATATTAAAAAAAATTTATCAGATATGCCTTGAAGATGACTGTCCCATTTTTTCATCGAATAATGAAAACTGTGAACTTGAATTTTTGAAACTTCATTATCACAAATTATCAATAATCCAAATTCATAATGCATACGACAAGCTAGGCTCTGCTTTGCTCATCAAAACTAATATTTTTCAAGTAAAACTTCTTTTTGCATTGTTTGAACTCCCTTTCCCTTTATCAGAGTTAATCTTTTTGTGCTTCTGAATTGCCTCATAGCCGGCTCCGCAAAAAACAAATCAGCCATCCTCCGCATTGAGATCCATTCTGTGTGTTATCAGTGTCGTTAATGCTTCTGAGCAGTTTCCGTTTCACTCTAAGATGATGGATAGAGTTATCCTACTAGTCTTCTCTTTTTCTTCTTCGCAACAATTTTCACTTTACAACAATTTCGAAAATCTTGTTTACTTCATATCACCCGAGTTCCTGCCGGCTTCCCGTATCGTTTTACGCCTAGTAGATTTCACTGACATCTCACTCACAAGTCGCATTACACTTGCCCTATGTCTACGAGTGAGGTTGGCGTGGGCTCCGGGCCAAGAGTGTGATACGAAAAAGCGACAATTGGCGCACACTACAAATTTTTTCCCTACTAATCTCGAGAAGCAGAAAAAAAAGAAGATATCGCCGTGTCAGCAGAGAGAAAAAAAAAGTTTCGGACGATAGCCAATGATTTGTTACGTTTTTTCTTCTTTGACCACTCTAAACGACGGAGGAGTCAAACGATTTGAAACTCAGAGAATGATTGAGTGTATCGAGTTTTTGACGCACTTTAAGAATTTGGGTGGAACGAGAAGACACTGACTGATACATGGTATGAACTCAGCTTTCAACGATGACCGAGTCGACCTGTACTTTTGAAGAATCGATCCATCAAACATTCATTTTGTTTCCTCGCAACTCTTTTGATTGTGCAGAATTCAAAGGGAGAGCAGGAGATTTTTTGGAGTTACGGTATGCATTTTCGAGAGTTACGGCAGTGAAAATTATGCCACCGTAGCTCAGACGGTAGCGACATGGAAGCTCCAACGGGCCCACAAGTTCAGCTTCCCAAGATGCTCATATGACCGAAATTACGAAAAAATTGTTTTTTCAAGTCAAGCTATCTTTAATTATGCCAATGAGTCACTTGTACTCGAAAAAGGCCTAAATTTTAGATTATACGACGATACTTAAAGAAACCGTTTAGAGAGAAAAATCTCTAGATTTTCAAAAAATCGGTACAAGAAAAAATTATTTTCACAAAATTTTGTTTATAGTTTTGTTTCCTGGAGGAGTGAAACTTGTGGGTACAACGTCGAATGTGCCCCGCTACTACCAGATAAGCTACGGCGACGCAAATTGATGAGAACTTAAAATTGATTGAAATGGGAAAACCGATGGTACCATAAGACCGATTAAAGAAAAAAACCGAGAAAAACTGGACCCGCATTAAATGGCTAACGTGAGGAACCAACAACTCGCCGCCGAATTTCGTTTTCTACCAACTCACTTTACACTTCTCCTAAAATGCACTTTCAAAGATCTGGTGGAAACGCAACTTGGAAATTGACACGTAATCAGAGATCGCAATTTTGGTTTTTGTTTTTCAAAGTGACAGAATTTTCTTATTGAAGTTCTATTGAAGTTTTATCACAAAAAAAGGTGGGTTTTGAAACAATTAGAAAATAATAATTTAATTTCAAATTATGGAACAACTGTTTTGTTTTACCCACTGCTTCCGCTGATAAGAACGAAATTTCTATTTTTCAGATTTGGTAACTTTTTTACAAATAATAGATTTACAGAGACAATTTATGAGACCAAATAAATTTAACACAACTTGTCATGCCAATATGTCAAATTTCAGAGATTCAAACAGGAGTGATACTTGAAGTAACAGTTCAAAGAATGTAAAAGAAACAAGAAAGATCCGGGTTTTGAATCAAATCATGGGGAAAAAGAAGAAAATGATAGGAAGGGACAGAAAATGAATACAACAGAGTGTGAAATCAAAAGTTTAGAGCATTAGAAGAGTGGGCATAATTAACGCAAAAATTATTAGGCAGGAAGTCAAAGACATAAAAAAGAGAGTTGGAAAGTTAGATTATTTACTTATCATCTAAATGAAGAGCTAGTCCGTTTTTGGATGTTGGAGCATGTATGCTTGAAAATCGCACCATCCAGCGGGAAAGATGTCGTGGGAGCTGGAATATAAGAAATATAGCGTGACAAAGAGTGAAATGTTCTGCATATCGCAGCTTGTCACAGTTCTGCCGTCGGTAGTTAATTGGAATACTCACTCGATATCGTAAAGCTGATCAAACTCCGAATCCCATCCATCAAAGTTAACATTGATGAGCCGCCCGTGAATGGATTTAATGGTTGCCGGACAGATGAGCTGATTTTCACACATATCAGCCGCTTCCAGATGCATTCCGACCTGCACAATTGGATATTGTATAATTTGAGTGTTGATTTACTGCAGTTTGAGTTACAAACAAACTTTCGAATCAGCTAGAGCGACACCATCAAGTTATGGTACGAGGCTGATCAGAGTCTGGATTAAACCATTACTAAAGTTGAATGAACTTGGCAAATTCTTGATAAGGTTCCGAACTAGCAGTATTTCAACTTATTATTTCTCACCAAAATCTGACCAGAACCCCTACACGGNCGTTTTTAAGCAAATTTTGACCAGAACCTGCCCAATATTTGTCTAAAAGACAAACTCTATCAACTTGTGACCAGAAGTTAGAAGCCGAGAGGATTCAAGGTCATCGGACATTTTTCAAAAAAAAATGATTATATGACAAAGCCCCTTTCGGAGTTGCCGCTGCTGGCTGGGCTACGCGACGGCAAACTAGGCTGATTTTAGCTTCGAATGTTGACTGTTTTCATATTCAGTTACAACTCACTTCTATCATGTCCATTCTCTCTTTCGATGGCATTGGTTTGAACACATCTTCGGGAACTGGTACCGCTTTCTGCTTCTTCAAATACTCATCCCATTTGAATTTCCCAACAAACTCATCCGGCGGCGCCAACTTGATACCGTGTTTCTTGGCGTAATTCATAGGGTACATGCACAGATTATGAAAGTGGATCGGGAAACTCTCCTCGGCAGCTTGAGGTCCATCCATTGAAATGATCATGTATCCGTCGGACTTGCAGAACGACATAACAGACGCAACATGTAGACATTTGAATTGTTGGGACAGTGGATCGAGTAGCTCGAATTTTTGTCCGATATTCAGTTTGTCCCATTTCTCAGGATCCACTGGTGGCTTTTCAAACTGATCTGGCGTCGCGTCGTTTATGTCATATCTGGGAGTAGTTCCGTCGTCGAAGGCTTCGGCAATCTTTTTAGTGTGCTGAAAAAAGCGACATGATTCAGAGTTATAAACTTATTTTTATGAAATTCTGTCTCTTTGAAAAACTGGCTTTCCGGGAAAAACGGTCCCAAAGCGGGACCGTCGGTCCGATCATAGGACCAACGGTACCAACGAAAAGCGACAACGGTCCCAATGTTTCGACAACGGTCCCATTGTTCCGACAACGGTCCCAATGTTCTGAGAACGGTCCCAAGGGTACGACAACGGTCCCAACCAGGCTTAACCTGGAAACCCTATTGGAATCTTCGGAAGTTATAAATTTTGTTTCAACTAAGAAACGTACTTTAGCAACAAAAACGAACATTTTGCTGATAATTGAGAATTCCAGCACTTTTTTACTTGAATTTTTTCAGAGTGTGTTGGGTTTGTAATTATATGCTTAGACTGAAACGCCTTGTTCACATCAGTGCCGGAAAAAGACGTTTTGGCCTAAGCCTACAGTACAAAAAACGTAATACTTTGCGAAAAATTCCTGTCAAGAAGTATTGAAATTCCCAAGTATAAGTAAAATGTTAAACTTTCCAATGGATTTTCAAAAGACCATTCCGTTTCTCAGTATTTCGAAATAGGGTTTCCAGGTTAAGCCTGGTTGGGACCGTTGTCGTACCCTTTGGACTGTTGTCGGAACGTTGGGACCGTTATCGGAACAATGGGACCGAAAAACTTTCGAGCAATTTCTCCCACAGGGAATTTATTTTTGAGAAATCACGGGCAAGAACTTGTCAAGGCCCCGCCCGGTGGGTTGAAAATCGGAATGTCCCGAAATTTCGAATTGTTTTCCGAACATCCCTGGTCCGCAAGTTCCAGATTTTATTCACACCTTAACGAATCAGTTTGCAGTCTGTCTGTCTATACTTTCTCACATCTTATTATAAAACTGGTCGGATGAACGCCAAAACTTTCTGATCATACCTCAATGTATTCCTCATTGGCGATCAACTGATAATTGTTGATAGCTGCCCATCCAACTGGGAACATCATGAAACTGTCTTGATCAATCCAATACTGTGCACCATCGTGCCCAGCTTGACGGTCATCCTCCAGCTCATTGAAGTCTCGTGGATAATCTCGTTTGCGAACTGTCACATTCAGTCGTCGGCCGCAAACTTCTTGAATGTGAGCGACACGGATTTCCAACGAGTTTGCGTAGCTGAGCAACTCGACACGCTGTCCCGCACGGAAATCAGGACGATGAAGTTTATGTCGATCCATTTCGAATTCCTCTTTGATTGCCATTTTTCCAATCACTTCATCTTGAGTTTTCTGGAATAAATCTTGGCTTAAATAGTTCATGGGTCCTTGGGGTCTTGGACTTTCAGCCTAGGCATGTATGCATAAAAAAACAGTCTGTAAAAACTATTTTGCCTAATTTTTTTCCTTCCACATGTCCCACAAAATCACAAGTTGTTGTGTAATCAGTGTACTATAAAAACGAGATGTACCTCGCTCGATGTACAGTACCGGGTCAATAAGATATACAAAAACACATTTTTCATTCGATTTTCGATTATTTTGACCATTTTCAGGACTATGGAACTTGGCTGTCAAGTTTTCGATCACATCGAAATTTTAGAAGGGTTCAAAACAGACCCAGATTGAAAGCTTTGTATTCATTGGCCGATTTCTGAAATGAACCTTTTCTTCACTTTTTGGGTACGAGAATCGGCCGAAACTGGGTGTCTTTCAGAAACCGGCCAACATCTGAAAAGCTAGAAACTTTCAAAAAATTCTGTGACGGCAAAATTTTTCAATCTAGTTCTGGTTTACACCCTTCAATCTTTTCAATCGGAAACTTGACAGCCAAAACCCAAACTCCTGAAAATGGTCAAAACAACTGATAAACAGGTTTTGTTTTTAAGTTTATGATTGACCAGTACTGTACCATACGGGGCTCACGCCGTCACTCCAAACGTTTTGTTTTACTTTGAAAAAAAAAAATAAAAGTCTCACTTGGACAAAACTATCCAAATCTGCTTCGAATTCATTTTTCAGCGAATACGGTGGGCAGTAGAAAACTTTTTCCAGCTTTGGATCACGGGTTTTAGCACTGAAACGCAAACAACGATTCTCATATTTCTCAAACATAGAAAAAACTCACTATAGCATTGTGTGAACCTTTCTTGACAACACGTGTGTCCAAAAATAGTCCGTGGAGTTGACGAATCTTGAAAGAATGTAGTATCCGCACGTGTTTTCGACAATCGCAAACCATCTGGGTTCTTGTTCCTGCTTCAGTTCGTCGAAGTCATGATTGCGTGTCTCAAACTGCAAACGGAACAATCAGATAATTTTTAAAGGTTCACAAAACTCACAACTACTCCTTTCTGAGCGCACACGCTATAATCCATTACAAGACTGTTGACAAGTGCAAGAGGTGACACAAATTTGGCTTTGCCTTTTTCCACTTTGTGGAAATATCTGTCCCATTTCCAAGTTTCCTTGTCACAAGCGGCTGGGGGGCGATCACATGGAATGATTTTGGACATCTGTAAAATCAAAAATCATGAGTAGGAGCAAGAAAAATTTAGCAGAATTGGGAAAAACAGTAGAACGCGGATGATAGGGCCGAGAAGAGACCAGGAAAGGTATAAAAAGGTAGAACAATCCATCTGACGCGTATCAGAAAATGGCTTAGAGGCACTCGGAGAAGGAAGACGGACAAAAATAGTGTAGACAACAAAGAGGGGCAGAGAAAACGACGAAGCAATTCGAGGAGTGCGCAATAGCCGTCTTGCGGCGGGCCGATAGAGCGCACTAGCATACCAGCGCAACAACTCAATGAAGAACATGAGGGCATAAAAGGAAGAAACAAAAGTCATGTGAAGAGAAAAAAGATTAGATTTCATTCAGGTACCGTATAGTGAATATCAACGTTCCGATGAGAAAATAGCAATTGAAAAATATGGGGGTTTCCAGGAAAGCTGAAGCAACAATCCTCTTCAAAGTTTGATAAGACGGTGAAGAATCCCAAAATTTGAAAGAGTGAATGCGAAAAATGGATAAAATGAAATTCCAAACGTCGAGCCGCAAACTCAAAGTCATTGCATTCATTGTGTGTTATGAGATTTCTAAATCTCAACTTTTTCCAATTCAAGAGGTTTTTTTTAAAATTTCTGTATTTCTTGGATTTGGGGATTTTCTGAAGTTTCAGCATTTTTTTCATTACACACCACTTACACTCTGGTGTTGTTCTTCTAGGAAAATGCAAAATGTTCTTTTTTGAAAAAGTAATCATTGTATTCTCGTCTTCACCTTGTCACATTTCTTCCTTATGGTATTTTTCTTATGACGTAAAAAATAACCACTAGCATGAAAAACGGGCGGAGTTTCCCACAGGAAACGGTTAGCCAGGACCAGGTGTCGCAAGTCCCGCCGCCATTCTCTCTTATATATTACCAGCCTTCTGGCTGCTACGCCTTCGGCGCGATTCAATATTTTTTACTGGTTCGTCACTCCACCCCTCTTTTCGATTTCTCTTTCTCACACTGTAAAACCTCTACGCCCTCTCTCCCCTCTTTCTGTGTGGCCGTCATGGTGCAACTGTGTGCATGCGCGGTTGTTGTCCGAAAGGTCCTAGGTTCAGTTTTGGCTGCGGCCAAACTCTCATTTAAAACTACAAAACCGGACAGACTGACACCGGGACCAACAGACGCGTCTAGCGTTTTATATAAGGAAGATTGTTGTCTATTGTCAATGCTCGTTGCGACCGAATCGCATCGTCGGGCGAACAGCGAAAACAACAAATTGATGCATGCGCTTTTAAAACCGTACCTCGGACGTTTTTTTTTAATTTTGGGCCCTATTTGGCTGCTTTTCTATTTTATAAGGGAAAGAAATTGAAGATTTATAAGAATTAGACAAAATTAGACAGAAACAAGCAACAAAAAGTTAGAGAAAAAGGCAAAAATTAAATACATTCTGAGGTACTGTTTGAAGGCCCATGCATTTATTTAAAAATACCGTTGTGTTATCTCTGCGGGAGCGAAGTTCCGCCTACTTGTTGTTTTTTTGGCCGCAACGTGCATTGATTTCGTACAAGAGTAATAATAGAAATTTTTCATTTTCCTTTCTCATTTTCTTCCTGAAACTACAAGAAATGCTCGATGTCGACCTTTCGGGGTTGGCGCATTTGTAGTTTCATTCCTTTGAGTTTTGGAATGTTTCTCTGGTAAAAAAACCTTTTTTCCCTTTCATGTAAACATTCGGATAATCATTTTTGTAACCTTCTATGCCTATCTTGTTATGCTTCATGTTTGATCTACCTTTATGTAGTTGTGATCTCATTTCTTAGGAGAGCGTGTGTCTCTTGGAATCGTTTAATTGTCTTTTTATTGGTCACTACCACATTTCAGGACTGACAAAACATGTGTAATTCTTCTCGTCTAGATTCTCACTCTGTCTTTACCTATTCGTAGTGTTCCTGTGTAGCCAGTACCCGCATAAACCTCTTATTTGAATCTTACTACTTTTTCCCCATTCACCAGCTCCAACGGGCTTAACACTTTTTTTAGCACTTTTTCTCATGAACATTTTTCTCTTTTTTCAGATTAATGTTCTGAAGATTCCTAGGAGAACAGTAATCATAACATGTGCTTATCAGAAATGTTTCAACAAATATGCTCTTTTTCTCAGTTAACTCAATTATTAAAAATTATGAAATGTTTTGTAATTTTTTTTTGGAAAAGGGAAAGTTGCAAAGGACTTTGAAGAGAGAGTTCAAGAGAACGTGAAATCGCTGGAGTGGAACCGGAGACAGTTGATGTTGCTTGGAGACAAGTTTGGTGGCTGGTCGCTTAGTTGTGATCGTCGCCGGATGTCGTTTCCTATGCTACGCCGACGGCGTTGGTCGCTCGTTCTGGCCCGATAGTGTTGCCCAGCTCGCAAGAGTCGGTGTCTTGTTATCGGTCGTTGGTTCGTGGTGGCTAGCGTTTAGTTACGCTAGTGTGTGTGACGTCGGTGTGAAAGTCGACGACGTTTCCGACCCGTCTTGAAACACGGATTGCGGAGTGCTTGTCTACTGCGAGTCAAAGGGTGTTAAAACCTTGCGGCGAAATGAAAGTGAAGGTCAGTCTTGAATTGGCCGACGTGGGATCGGTGCTCCTCGGAGTGCTGCGCACCACGGCCCTGTGCGTGTCACTTGTGACTGTGCAGAGGTTGAGCAGTTGGCAAACGACCCGAAAGATGGTGAACTATGCCTGAGCAGGATGAAGCCAGAGGAAACTCTGGTGGAAGTCCGTATCGGTTCTGACGTGCAAATCGATCGATAGACTTGGGTATAGGGGCGAAAGACTAATCGAACCATCTAGTAGCTGGTTCCTGGCTTCACGGCCTTTTTTCGAAGCATTAAGCGGAGCCATTTTATGGCACCGTGACTCTCCTCGAAGACAGTGTCAAGCGGGGAGTTTGACTGGGGCGGTACATCTATCAAATCGTAACGTAGGTGTCCTAAGGCGAGCTCAGAGAGGACGGAAACCTCTCGTAGAGCAAAAGGGCAAAAGCTTGCTTGATCTTGACTTTCAGTACGAGTACAGACCGCGAAAGCGTGGCCTATCGATCCTTTTAATCCTGATTGTTTCAGGTAAGAGGTGTCAGAAAAGTTACCACAGGGATAACTGGCTTGTGGCAGCCAAGCGTCCATAGCGACGTTGCTTTTTGATCCTAGGCCAGGAAAAAGAAATCCTAAAAAACAGATTCTAAAACTTCGTAAGCATTTTCAGAATCTTTCAGAAAATTCGAGTACCTAAATGTTTTGGAACTAGAGAAAACGCTATAAAATAAAATTTTAAAAACTTTTTTCTTAAATTTCTAAATTAAAGATATCGCATTACTAATCAAAAAGTGGTCAAAAACTATATTTCTGATAAATTTTCTCATCGGACCGAAAATTTTATTTTGAACCGTTGTTCTCACATCCGATCGCTGAAATCTCCGGTGAGCGCTATAAGCATATATAGCCCATTTTTTGGTTGGAAACTTGTATCAAAAACACTTATTACTAATACACTGATAAAAATCAGAAACAACTTTCTCATTTCCAACCATTCATGAGTATAACAAGAAGCAGTTCCAGAAGTATTCTCATTGTATAAAACACCTAATAAAGGCATAAAATTTGTTGTTTGTTTTGTTTCCACTGAACGAAACGACGATATCGCTACCCGAATCTTTTACTATCTTGATGCGTGTACCAGTTTTCCCTAAATAGCAAAATGGTATAAAAGACACAACCATTTCCAAGCAAACCATTCAACTAGCGTGCATTGGCATTCTAGAACCACCATGGATTCTCCAACTGATCTTCGCCTCAAAGCTTATCGTCTTATTGCCTATTCGGCAGTCGGGTTCTCAGTGACTGCTGCAGTTGGCTTGTGCTTGACTCTTCCACTGATCTTCACCTATGTTGAGAACACAAAGACTCTTTTACATCGCGAGTCTTTGTATTGCAAGGTATATTTAGAATTTCTACGAAAATCGACCATTTATTTTCAGAACTCGGTGCAAGACATGTGGTCGCAGATGAACAACGATGTTGCTGTGAACAGAACAGTGAGACAGGCTGGATATTCATCTGGAGGTGGAGCTGACGCTGGAGCAGCTGCTGGAGGAGGTGGCGGATGCTCCGGATGCTGCAACCCTGGACCACCAGGAGTTGGAGGAGCCCCAGGAAAGCCTGGTAAACCAGGAAAACCAGGAGCACCAGGAGCTCCAGGAGCACCAGGAAAGGGAGCCTCCGCACCATGCGAAGCCAAGACACCACCACCATGCCAACCATGCCCAGCCGGACCACCTGGACCACCAGGACCAGACGGACCAGCCGGAGAAGCCGGACCAGCAGGAGAGGCCGGAGCACCAGCAGTCCCATCACCACCAGGACCTCCAGGACCACCAGGACCACCAGGAAACCCAGGAGTCGATGGAGGAGCCGGAACACCAGGACCAGACGGAGCAGCTGGAGAGAGCACCTATCCAGAGCCAGCTGGACCAGGACCAGCCGGACCACCAGGACCACCAGGACCACCAGGACCAGACGGAGCAAGCCCAACTGCCGCACCAGGAGAGGCCGGACCAAGGGACCACCAGGACCCATCGGAGCTCCGGAGCCCGATGGAACCCATGACCACCAGACCACCTGGAAAGGCCGGAAGCGAAGGAGAGAAGGGAATCTGCCCCAAGTACTGCGCCATCGACGGAGGAATCTTCTTCGAGGACGGAACTCGGCGCTAATTTACTTTTTTATTTCATGGCGATTGACCTATTTGATTTGTGTCTTGCCAATAAATATCGAGCATTTCAAAAAACAACATTTATTTAACATTTCTGAATAGCAGAAGGCTCAGAACTTCTAAGATCCGGAATATAGGGAGGAACTTGTTCTTCATTTTCTACTAATCCAATGTCCAAGTGTCCAAAGTCATGTGAGTACTTGTAGCAGAACACACTGATCCATTCAATGTCATAAATTGTTTGACTTGGATCCAATCGAACAATCATTGTCTCATCGGTGATGTCTTTCAACATTGGGCACGTACTAAAATGAGTTTTGATGTACTGTAGGTCAAAAATAGTTTTTCACTCACTTGACACTCAAATCCTTCCCAACAATAACTGCTTTTTCTCCTGTTTTTGTGTCGATATCTTTTCCAGCACCAGCGAAGAAATATCCATCTGAACTTATTGAAAAACTATCACTTTCCTACAGTTATGAGGATTACCTGGAGTTTGTGATGCTTTATATGAGAATCTGGGGATTCTTAATGTGCGGGAATCAATCACTTCAATTGGGTCAGAAATGATACCGTACTCTCCAAAAAGTCCCATATCTGGCTCGCTCTCAAAACAGCAAAATGGTTGTGGTGGTTTTTGATTCAGGTCGACCGAGCCTATGACTTTCTGTAATTCAGATGAAATTCATTACAATATATCTTGAATAGATTATAAGCTAATTAAAAATTGAATGTAATCTTTTTTCCTCATTGTTTTGGTCCCTTTTTTGAGAATGTCTCAAGTGACTCACCCCATTCAAATCCACCACCGCAAATTTCTTCCACTGGGCAGCTGAGCCAGTCATTTTGACAATTAGCCTCGTGTGTGTTTTGTGTTGCTCTTTCCCCAATGAAACCCTGAATTAAATATGTGTTCATGGTTTTTTTGAGTCATCATTCTTTTTTTTACTTAATAGATTATTATCGATTTTTACTAATAATTCCTAAGTGAAAATTAAGCAAAGTTCACCGGAAATTTTGAAACTACTGGAGCAGTACCGGCACATTTGATGGTAAATTTACCGGTAAAAATGTCGGTATCTTGTTTTTATCTCTTTTATTTTTTTTCGACAGTTTTGTAACGTTCTTAATTGTTCCGTTTTACAATTTTGTAGTTCTGAAACTTCGTGATTTTAAACTGTCGCAGTTATAAAACGCTATGGTGTTCAAAATTGTGGTTATAAAATGCCGAGATTTTTATTTATTCATGTCATACAGTTCAAAAATCCTCAGATTTCTTGAAATAGTATTAGCATCACAAACTCCACCTTGAAATTTTTAATAAAAGGGCCCCCGTACTGTCAGATTTAAGCTAAATTTTCTTGGCTCCTATGCAAGATATCGAAACTGTGTCAACTGATTTTATTAATTGACAACTTTTTCATATTTTCGACATAAACGGAAAAAAGGTTCCTCAAATTGAAAAGATGGGGGGCTCTTCTATTACAGGTGTTATGGTATTCCCTTCTTCAATACAAACTTACAACTTTTCAATCCATTCAGTGTTCCGAGAAGTGTGATATTTGTAGATCTGCGGTTTGCTTTTTTCACCACTTGCAGATATGAACACAAATGGGGAAGGAGGTGAATCTGAAATTCCTTTTTTTTTCTCTTTGCTTTAGTTAAATATGTATAATCTTACTTGGATTGTTAGTCTTGAAATCTAGTATTTGTAAATGTGTAGAGTTCACCAAGAACACTTCCCCTTCAACATCGGTTCCACTAAATTCTCCGACGGAAACTCCAAAGTACTCGATTCCGTGCAAAACATCTAGAAGAAAATAGAAGTGTTAGAGAGAAAACGTGTGAATAGAAACTTACCAAAAAGTGATGATATGAAACAGGCAAAGAATAGAAGCTGTCCGTTCCTTATAGAAAAATTCATAATGTTCAGGATGAATAGAATGATAATTTCTTTCTTTCGAACTGGGGGAAGTTGTTCGTTTGACCTATATGACGGAAACTGGTCAAGGTTTACTGCTTCTTCTTCTTCTTCTTATTTGTCTTGTATTGCTTCAACACCCAAACAGTTATTGTCAAGAAAAGACGAAAGGGAAATTGGCTAACTGCTTTTGGACGACGGTTCTTTTCTCTTCACTGTTAAGTTTCTGTTGTCTGTTGTGTTGTTAAGCGTCGTCTGCAGGAAAGTGTAAAGAAGGTTCAATGAAAAATGCCCTGCGGTCAATTCATTGAAAAGAAAAAGAAATATTAGCCTTCGGCGAAAACGGGAGAACCCATTGAATGTTTGATGCTGTGTTTTCTGTAGAACCGGTTTGAGATTTTCGGAAATTTCAATTTCAAATTTGTTGGGGAACCATTCCTAAGAAAATCGAATTTCTAGCAAATTTAGAATGGGTGTTTAAGTTCAGAACATTTATATAAAACGGCGGAAGTGTTTAGATAATTTTTGAAGCTGGACTTCTGTAAAACAGGTAATAGAGAGGCCCTCTAACTTCAAACTTTGAGTCTTGGTTTCCTGTCAAAGATATGAACAACTGATCAACTGGTAAATTGTTTATCAAAACATCACCAACATTTTATCAGTTGACAAAAATTTGAAATCTTTTACAGGAATCGAGATAATTGGATTCAAAACGCAAGTATAGAGTATGGACCTATTAGAATTTGATTTACGGAATTTTGCAAAATCTACATAGCGATTCTTGAGCCTAGCTGTCAAGTTTCTGATAACTTTAAAAATTCTGAAAAGCGTTAAACAACCGATTTCGGCTCTAGTTGGTTATTTTGGATTTTAAAGAAAATTTTGGATTTTAAAATTATTTTTGGATTTTGAAAAAATTTTGGATTTTAAAGAAAATTTAGGATTTTAAAGATCTTGAAAAACATTAAATTCCAAAAATTTCGTGCGATGAAATTTTCATCATAAATTGTGGCCAGTGTTCCTCCTGGCTGTACTTAGCTGTAATTAGCTTTTGAAAAACTGGTTTGTCGTTGTTTTCATACATTATCAGAGTTTTCGAATTATTGGATTTTGAAGATAGTGCAAAAATTTCAAGACTAGAGACAAGCTTGAAAGGGTCCCGAAGGTTAATATTTATTGCCCTCATCTTGTCGGGAACCCAGGATCAAAGGGTACATTAAAAAAGGGTACGTTGAGGGTACTCTGAGTTCTTAGGGTATATAGGTTCAAAGGGTAAATGGGATCTTGGGTGTAGGTCGTTTTAGCTTGAGCCAATGATTTAGAGCAAAAGCTAAATAGTCAGTAGGAAATTTTTTTGGCCCTTCCGCATGTACCACAAAATCCCATGTATGCTAGGAATCAATGTACTCTAAGAAGTAGATGTACTCTTTCCCGATGTACCCTTGGATACTGGGCCGTTGAAAATATGGCATATACAGCCAAATGTTTTAAAGTTGATGTCAAATGCCAGTGTTCCAGTGGAAGGAAAACAGCACGTTTCAGCCTAAGCCTTTAAATTCAACGAAAAAACAGAAAATTTGAAAAAAAATTTAGTGAAAAAAAAGAGATTTTCATTGATTTGAATTTCAGTACTTCATTAACTGAATTTTTCAGAGTACTTTGTCTGATGTTTGAAATTATAGGCTTAGACTGAAAAGCTTCGTTATCTCTGTACTGAGGAATTCGAAAATGACACCAAATTCAAAAGAGTTGGAAGCTAAAAAACTATACCTTATTTAGCACCCAGATCAAATTAATTCTCAAGCAAACAAATAACAATCAATCTTTGAAGGGCCAACGTCTGACGGTCGCCAACGTACGAAGGCGGTTTTATGCCAAAAATCGAGTAGTTGAAAAGCAAGAGGTATTATTATGAATCTTTTCTGAATTCTTTAAAATCCAAAATTTTCCTGATTAAAATCCAAAAATTTCTTTAAAGTCCAAAATTTTTTTTAATTCCAAAATTTTTATTAAAATCCAAAAACTTCTTTAAAATCCAAAATAACCAACTAGAGCCCCGATTTCTAAAAATACTTTATCTTCACGCTTACAGTACAAAAACAGGCCACAAACGGTATATTTCACAAATCGGCAAATAGCTGAAAAACTAGAAATTTTCAAAAATCGTGTTAATGCAAAGTTCTTAATCTAGGTTTGTTTTACACGCACCAAAAATTTCAAAATGATCTGGCAGTTGACAACCGAACTCCAGACTTCTGAAAATGGTCAAAATTGCCAAAAATATACTGAAATTAGGTTTTTGTGTATCTTATTGATCGATACTGTAGCCGATGAGCGAACGGTATAAACGACTTTTATCAAACTAATTTTGGTCACTAAACCTGAATAAACAGTTATTAAAGACTGGTAAAAACCTGAAAGACCCAAAAATGTTATGGCAGATCAAGTAAGGACTGACAGATTTTCTCTCCGGGAAAACGAAATGACTTACAAAGAAGAAGAGAGACACCACTCTATCATTTTAGCATAAGAACGATAATACCGACCCCCCATGTTTATCGAAAACCTTTTTTTCAACTAGCCGTCACATATTAGTTATTTCTCTCAGTTTGAACTTGATTTTCTACGTACTTGCTACAAAATCTTAAAGTTAATTTTTCGAAAATTTCAAAAGTTTGGTAGGCAGTGTTGACAAAATTTTCATCTTCTGCATATACAAACAATGCCAATTCCATGTGATTCCCGTTCTTTCCAGACTTTTATTTCCAAATTCACAGAAACTCTTTCCCGGTGAAAACCGAAAAAATTCATCAGCAGAGTTCCATGGAAATATTCCTCCGATTGCTTATTTTTCTGTCCCGTTGCCACCAAAACCTGGCAACCCCCCTCAGGGCCATCCGAAAATCGAGAGCAAAGGGCACCTAAAAATTTCTAATGAGATTTCCCCCTTCTCTCCTCGTTTGCTTCTTCCCACGTCTTCCGTTTTTCGACGACTCTTCCTCTTCTTCTCACCATCTGGAAGCATAAAATGGCCGGCAACGGAAAAAGAGCAGATGTGCTTGCTCCGTCTTCCTCTTCTTCTCCATCTTCAGCCATTCGCGCACCCCGTGGATTACATCACCCTCCGTCCATTCGTCAACCCGATTTCCATTAGTGGTGATGAAATGTGTAACCCCAAATTAAAATGAAATGTGCGCCCTCTTTAGTAGCCGCCTCTTTTTTGTGCTTTTTTTTGCTCCTTTTTTTGTCGTTTGTACTACTGTAGGTGCGAACGTCTTTATGCCGAAGAGTTGAACTGTTTTATGATTAAAAGATTTTAAGGAAATTGAACTTTTCAAATCCCAAAATGGATTGAATTGACAAGATATGGAATAGAAATAAAATGAAATCCTGGAGGAAGGAGGAGCTTAGAAGCTCAGACCTTCTTTATTTTTGGGAGGTCATGCTAACAGTTTTATTCTTGACCTTCCGTTTTCGATATATTTCCTCATTTCATCTTATCTTTCATCCCAAATTCTTTATATCTCGGTAAACTAGTTTTTCAAGACGGGGGCCGTCGACTCATTTAGTACTTCCGAGCTCCTTCTCTTGTACGTGCTTCTTCAATTCCTCTTCCTACTCCTCTTATCGAATTGCGACGACGACAAGATGTTGAGAAAGACGAGGAAAACGAACTGACGGACGACTTCTTCAACAAATTTTCACATTTTTTTGTCGAATTTTCGGATGTGTGTGGGCTCAATGACACATTTTTTTTGACATGCTTTTCAGCCGAACTTGAGATGAAATCCTATTTTCTAGCTGTGTTGTACACTTCAGACTTGATTGGAGTGCTACAGAGATCGAGAATCATTTCTGATATGCTTGATAGATAGAATAGGTAATAGGACACATTTTAAATACTTTTTAGACGCTGTAGCTCAAGTTAAGCTAGTTCCAAAATTTCATAACTCTGAAATTTTTGAATTAATGCTCGGAAAAATAGAAATACTGAGATTTTGTGGTATTTGTACTTCGAAGTTCAGAAACTGGAATTCCAGAACACTGAAATTCTGAAGTCCAGAATTCCAGAATTTCTGCATTTTTGAATTTCTGACTTTCTGAAATTTTGAATTTTCTTAAATTCTGAAATTAGGAAATTCAGAAACTCAGAAATTCAGAAATTCAGAAATTCAGAAATTCAGAAATTCAGAAATTCAGAAATTCAGAAATTCAGAAATTCAGAAATTCAGAAATTCAGAAATTCAGAAATTCAGAAATTCAGAAATTCAGAAATTCAGAAATTCAGAAATTCAGAAATTCAGAAATTCAGAAATTCAGAAATTCAGAAATTCAGAAATTCAGAAATTCAGAAATTCAGAAATTCAGAAATTCAGAAATTCAGAAATTCAGAAATTCAGAAATTCAGAAATTCAGAAATTCAGAAATTCAGAAATTCAGAAATTCAGAAATTCAGAAATTCAGAAATTCAGAAATTCAGAAATTCAGAAGAAATTTAACAAAAGAAAATAGAAACTGGGAGATTAAAAAACGAAATTGCATTACTTCTCCTCATTTCGCTATTTCCCAAAACTCATTGTTTGTTCATGATGCTATGTATTCTGAAAAGGAGAAAATACGAGGACGAAGAACTCAAATTTCAATCCATCCGCCACCCGACCACATCCTCTTTTTCAACTCTATACATTTTCTTTTCATTTTCTCCTTTTTTTTTGAACCTTCACCATTTCCACGAGAACAACCTTCCTCTTTGTTTCAAAACGTTCATCTATTGTTAGACTCACACATACTAAATAATTCGTACTTCATCTTGCAACCCGTGTGAACGAACCGGGGAGGAAGAGGAGAATATGTACATGTTGAAATCCATTTCTCACACATATTTTGCTCCATTTCATATTCAACACGGGGGGCTTCTGCTGTTCAAGTGAGCGTAGAAGAGGGAATTGAGCACTAGTCTCCGGAGCACCTCATTAATTCGGGACCCCCGCGCGGGAAAGAAG